TTCGCCAAAGACCACTGCATAGAGCTGTGGAAAATCTGCAGCAGTGATGAAGGCCATGGGCGCTACGGTGTCTGTGGAGGACAACACCGAGGCCAGGACCTCGAGATTCTGAAAACATCTGAAAATCACAAGTCAATGTGGAGAGAGAATGGACCTGGACTGAAAAGATCATTAGTGCGCTATCCAGCGTCCTAGCTAGGCTCTTCCTATTGCTGGTATAGCTTACTTCTGCCTTAATTACTTACTTAAGTAGGCGCCTAAGAAAGGGCGGGCTAAACAAATACCACAAGTCCAAGTGGGTGATCGGAGTTCAGGTGCAAAGAGCGGGAGAATGGCTTTCCGAAGACCAACGAGGACAAGACATACAGAAGCACCTTTCTTTTTTTGGTGCAAAGGCTAGGGCTTTTGCAAATCTAGTGACATATTCAAACAGCCTTGGTCATTTGTGGGTGGCGTCTACAAAAGCCGCAGGACTAGAGGGACCACGTCTGGACGGTCCAGGTTTGTCATAGTGACAGCCAGATGTTCATGCTGTGCACTGAACCATACATGAATGGGAAGGGTAAAGCTGGCCGAGGCTTGAGATTCACCATGCGATTCTCGCAGGGGTCCAGCTGCAACTAGAGCCACTAGACTATCTTGGGCAACCTGCGATTCTCGCTTAGATTTGAGGCACTGGCTGCCTTGATTGGCTGGATTTGGACTCCTGGGCAGATTCCCGTCGCTGACAATCTAAAGTAAATTCATGTAAATTCAGTATCGATAATTATGGGAATTAGTGATACAGTAATTAGTGTAGTAGGTATCCAATGCTTCCAACAAAGATCCAGACTTCGATTGTTTCTCTGTCTTAGCGTAAGCAACGAGATGTGAGAGTCACGCCCAAGGCACCAGGCGACTCTGCGCCGGCAGGGAAAAGGGCTCCGCGCCGTCACTGGGGTGAATGGTGAAGAAGGTCGAACCATAGAAAATCAGGAGAAAGATCCCCACCGTTCCTAGATAGCAAAACGAGGATTCGATCGTTGTGGCTCAAGGCGAGACCTGCGGATTTCCCTGTACTCCCACCAGAGCCTGGTGAGGTTTCTCTACAATAGGTGGTCGAAGCACCCCCAAACCAAGTTGATGAGAATCCCCAGGAGTCAGTCTTCTCGCGTGTTTGGGAGATTGATTGGGTCAACACGGTGTTGATCCACAAGCTTTGTGGCCATCAACGGTACCCCAGTATGAACTACAATCTTGGATTTGGCCGATTTACCTTCTTGCCTCACCCTCAGCAAGGGTGCAATGTGAAGCAGAATCGCTTAAATATTCCTATTCACCAGCCTTTGCACGCAATCTGATTGAAGACAACTATCGAATATGGGATAAATTTGGGAGTAGAAGGTTCACTGCAAAGAATTATATAGGTAAGAAACATGTCTTTAAACGAGTGGGACACAAGTTCCAAGATCGCACACATTTTCAAACATAGGGACTGTTAGAGCCAACCATTGGCCATGGGGGATTTGGGTATGTATTGAGGGTAGATTCAACAAAATGCTTGCGGTCTTTGCATACTTGTCATTACTTTTCTCATGTTCCGAGACTTCCGGAGCGCTCCGCTAAAGATAACAAATCAAACTTAAACACTGGAGTTCAGGGAGAAACTGCATTGAAGAATCATGAGAACGAGGTCACCATAACTCTAGGTTGATCCCCAAGCCGATACGAAGGCAAGCATAATAGCAAAATGCCAGGGATCCGGTGATGCCCAATGCCAGAATGTATCCACCATGTCGAAAGAAGTGGTGCTTATCCAGGTTGAACCCAGCTGCGAAGATCACCATTGGTAAGAGGATATAACTAAACATCTCATAACTGAAGGATGCCGCTCCCCCAAAGGCAATTTGCATGATGTATCCTGCTACCAGGCCAACTAGTACCGCTGCTCCTGTTTCATGGAGCACGTGGCATTTTTCGAAGACATAACTCCAGCCCACATAGGCCAGCAGCAGTAGGACGCACATAAAGTCCTCAACACCAAACACTTGATGCACACGTCCCCCACCGGCTTCAGCTGTCTTCACTACAAGGCCACATGAGCCCTGACCAGTGCAGGCAGGAAAAATGCTGAAGGGAAAACTGCTGCTCCAATCGATGCAAAAGACGTCGTAGTATGAACCAGGTTGGATCGTATTGCGGTCCTTGGCTCAGCTGGGCTTCCCCACCCACAACTGAGCCCCAAAACTGCATCAAGGGAACCAGTCTTGGGGATAAAGCGAGCAAATGGTGCTGGCCGCTGGTGACTGCAGCTCAATCAAAGACCTACATACATCATTATAAATTTCACAAAAAGCGAGTGTCTTCCGGCGAAACTATCCTACAGTTGATAGAAACATCTCTGTACCACCTGAAATGCTCTGCAACAGGGTCCTATTTTATTATATAACTACTAGTTCTGGTGAACAAACTCTGAACCGGCTGGAGTTTGATCTTCTTGAAAGAGGCATTCACGTTGCGTTGACCCGGTTGATTCTTACACTCTCAGCAACTCCGAGTTCAATGACAACCAGCCTTTGAAGGAAGTACATCTTTAAAAACATGTTCATGTTGCATGATTCCATGATGTTCCATGTCCTCATGTTCACGATTCAAAGACCTGATAGGGGTTGGTGAAAGCTTTTTGCTTCATGGTGAACTGGATCACCCTGTGTGACTCTGTGAATCTCAGTCATCGCTCAAGCATGAAATCATTGCCCAAGGCGCGCTGTTTTGAATGACAACGCGACACGACTTGGACTTGTCGCAAGTGATCATGGGCATGGCCGTCATCGAGGTGAAGGATGGCGTGGTGGCACGATTCCTGATGGGCTTCTGGGCATCCAAAATAGATAGAAACCTGTAGTGTTTGCACCAAAGCAACGACTAGTGAAACTTTCCTAATACTGTAATTGGATTTCAAGTTCGTAGGACTCGTTTTTTTGGGAACCACAGGTTGCTCGTTTGATGTCTGGTGTTGTTGAGCAGGCATCCATGGTCTTCATGATGGACTCGAAAGAACTACAGTATCCAACTGCCAAAAGTGGAATGATCCGTACAGCCAACCTGACATTGGGAGATTCCCCTAAATGTAAAATACCAATGGAAAGTACCACCAACCTAAGAGTAGTTTCTACGAACTATGGAGATTTTTAATGTATATATCTATATAGATTGCTTCAACCAAGACAACCGAAATCGTTGGCAATCCAAGGTTCGCTTTATGTGACTCTGCCCTGCAGGCCACGTTGGCAGTCCCGTTGCTGCCAGTGCTGCCCCCAAAGCGGATGGACACGCAAATGGAGCTCCGCTGCCTGTGGTAGGCTTTTTCATTGCACTCAGAAAAACCAAAGTAGAAACTGGGAGGACACAAGTAGAGGCATTTCGAACGTCAAAGTCAAAGAATACAGACTATTGTCACTACAGTATCTGGCGAAACTATACAGCCTGGAATGAAAGCCCCTTTTATTTTTGACGACTTTCTGGTCAAAAGGTCACTGACTTTACAGCTGATATCCCCGTGTGATCCTGTTCCTGCACATCACAGGTTCTTTCATGAATAGCTGGCTGGAAACGACCACAGCTTCAAACGAGGCAATTGAGAGTAAATGTGGAAAAGGTTCACTGCTATTGGGTGGGGTCTTTGTTTCACTCAGGTGCAAGGTGGTTATCGACCAAAGAACTGCCCTGCTGGACGCCTTTGGATCCCACATAGAGCCTACTACTGGCGTTATACTTCCCAATGTTATTGGGCTTTGATTTGATGGGATTTGCAACGAGTAAAGGAGAGCTCACCGCTCAGCAACAGGTGGATTGATGCGCAGAAATTATAACATTTGAGAATCATGGAGGTGTACCGGGAGGTTTCTATGCAAGAACATTCAACTATCTTGATCTTCTATGCACAACCTGTGTATCACTCCAAGGCCAAGCTGCACGCTTTCATCGCGGCACTCATGAATGGAGTACTGCTCGCAAACAGCAAGGCCAAGAAGGGTACAAAGCCATGACACTCTCATGGCAGGAATACCCATCACTGCAAAGAAGCCACAGGTTCAAAGGGTTGAAATGCAGGAGGACGCATGGTAGCCCCGAGGGAACGAAGGGTGTCTCTTGATGTCCCAAAGAAATGAACGTGCAAACAGTGATTGCTTGGAAATACTCTACCTCATCTCTCAGGGAGTTCTCTTTTGCCTTTGATGTCGGTTGAGTCGATCCTCAAATTGAGCGCAGAGACCAATTAAGCTTGCAAGCGCTCGAGTCAGAGTGTTGTCTTGGAATGTATGTCTAAACCTGGTGAAGAAGAGCAGTATTTCGGAAAGTTCTGCTACTGTCGAGTTGTGAGATACCTTCTCCAATTTTTTCTTACCCCAGTGAAACCTTATCACTTTAAAGGTTGCTTTGGTTCCACAGGTCCTGTTTCTTCAATCATTCTGCATCAAATCCTATTCCGATAATTATAGTTGTTACATGTTGCTACTATCGAATCACAAATTACGATTCCGTTAAAATATAGTTTTCTGTTGTGAATCTCACACCAAAGTCATCATTCTGCATATCCTCAAAGGGGAGCCGATATCAGCTGCAGGTTCAACCCATACCCTTCGTGTACCCCATGGGACCATTGGAATTGGTGTTCTGGATATCCCTTCTGTTCAAGACGCACCCCAAAACAAACCGATGAACCCTGACACGTTATGCCTGTTCTGGAACATGTGACGGAAGATGAACCCCCTTTTTTCGAAACAGGCAACTAAATCCACGTCTATCAAGAGGCCAAAAGCAGTTCCCATCTTTTTCTTTTTTGACAAAGATCACTTTCGAGGGTCAACTGCTGAATTAACTATATAACATGATTTAATCAAATCACCAATATTGGCATCTAATGGCCGAGATTTAACAACACTCGTCAAAAAAAACATCTTGTTTTGAAATCGCCACACAGCATCCATACCCAAAACACCCGTGTCTTGGCCCCGTGCCCCAGCCAAAACGGCTGCCGCATACTCGCCCACGCTATGACCCAAGACCTAAGTAGAAAAATAGAACGTGAGGGAGCAGGTCTAACCGAAATAGAAGTTTCTTCGCTTCGTGGACGAAGCAGTTGGCTGGTCAGAATTGCAATCAGCTTATTGATCTTATTGTGTTGTAATTCACATGCCCAACGCTTGCCAAGATCCAATTTCTTTATGAAGCGATATCTTCCTTCCACATCGATGGAGCTGTGCACCAGCATCCAGCACACTCCCTACTGTCCCTCAAGATGGGGTAGGAACACTCCACGCATGTCTTTTTGGAGGCCATGGAGCTCAAGGTTGCGGGACTTCTTCCATCACTGCATATCATATCACCCTTCCCACGCTTCCAAGGGCCCGGCCGCACAAGGCTCAAGGCCTCGAGAACGCCAAAGCTCTGCCAAGGCATATTCGATAGTGAAGATGGCTGGCTGAGAAAACTGAGTCCTCAGGCGACTCCATGGTGAGGAAAGGTGAATGGAGTATGAGAGAGGTGAATGGACTGGGTACATTGAGAGCTTGGGGATTTGTTTTGGCCCGAGCAAAATGTTGGGTTGGCTGGAAACATGTAACATGTCAAAAGCTGGGAAATGACACCAAGATATACCAAGATGCGTGTAAAGACATGGCAAATGCAAAAATGTTGTTTCGATGAGTGTAATTAGACTTAGGCATCCTGACATCAGTCTTCGATGGGTGCTTCAAGTGCTCTCTGGAATCAAGTTGGTCAACCTTCTGCAACACACCTCACCCTGAAACAAATAGCTAGCAACATCTATCCAATCTATCAACTAGCAACCATTAGATAAGAACTCTGGATGTTTCCTGAACATGATTGCAAAATACTAAAAACATGTGACTGAGCTTGAGTGACTCCAATACCAAATGAACCAAGGTCGGCGCTGATTAAGCAAGCCGTCATCCGTCTCCGCATGCATGACCTGAACACATACAGCAGCACTGACATATTCTTTTGTGCAGCCAAAGGAGGATTTGTCCCATCTCAAAACTCCACTTGTATCAGAACTCAGAACTCAACGAACAAACAATGGAAGAAATCAACCAAATATCAACACAGATTCAAAGCTTTGTCAGCACAACTCGCCTTGGAAAAAAATGAAACCACCGCAGACTTCTGACCAAAATGGTGCTACCAGTATGTTGCAAACCATGATCCAACCCCACCCGAATCCTAAGGTTCGTCGGCCCAATATCGCTTGTCTTATTCTTCTCGTTTGTCCGCTGTTGCCACGTTCAGTGCAGCACGCCATCGGTGCCTGCAAAAGTGCCTTTGGCAGCTCACTATCCAGCAGCGCGGCACACTTGTCCACAGCCTCGCGGAAGACCGGCTCCGAGCCATAAAGCTCCTGACAAATGAGGAAGGATCGGATGGGGTGCTGTAGCCAAAGCGGGTCCTGAGACTGAGAATGATCATCAATATTATGCGCTATGACCCCACGGCCCCACGCAAAGAGGAGATCAAAAAGCATTGGTCTTTGTGGCTAATCACTTATCAAATGAATGATAAAGCCCTACCAAGTGTTGCCGATCTTTTCTTGGCACCATCGAACGGGTGAAACCGTGAATGTCTTTGGCGCTCCTGGCCCATCTTCACATACTGCGAGCCCTGGCCTCAGCCACACGGGAGGATGTGGGGTAGAGGGGAGGTTCAGTGGAAGTGTAAAGCTGATTGCATGCAAACAAGCGCATGAAGAACTTCCGCGCCCCGCGCCGTATGTATAGACACTTGGTGTCCCTTCGATTAATACCGCACACCGACAACCGTGCTCGCGGCTGCCAATGAGGCACTGGAAAATGACACAACACGGGCTCACGGTCCATGGCTTGGTAAGGGCACAGCAGCATACAGTAAATGACCAAAACACCAGGTGAAGGTTTAGACAAGCGGCTTTTGCAAGTTTGTGTCAGTTCTTTCTTAGCCCCAAACTTTACGTATGTCCTTTTTATCAGCACCTCGATTCACCGTAAATTAGTTTATGTAAGTCTGCCACTCCTCCAATGTCCATCACTCCTCCTGCGGGCCTGTGAAAAGGAAGGCCACCCGCTTCGGCACGCTGCTCAGTGACTGCGCCTTGCGGCCTGCAGTTAGGCTTTGCACAGTAAAAATGACGCTGGTCCGAAAGTAGATAGAAATGAGTTCCATCACAGTACATCTGTTCTATCTATATATCTATTTGGCAGTCACCATAATCAAACAACATTTATTCTATTGCGGTCTTTGTCTTCCCAAAAAGCTTTAGATCCAGCTGCACCTCCATTCCAAAGCCACTCCCACCCAGTCGCATGCGCGCACCTGTCGACCTCTTCTTCTCTGCTTTCGCCGACGCTGCCAGGACCACGTGGCCGTTGGTGCCGCCAAACCCAAAGGAGGACACAGAGGCAGCAGGGAAGCCACTGGGGCCTCGGGGTCCACTGAGTTGGATATTCTTCACCATGAACTGAGTGACTCACACCACTCTTCAGAGTAGTTTAGAGGGACTTCGTACGTATGACCCTGCTTGCAAGGTCTTCCCCCCACCCAGGACTCCTGGCACTACCTTTCCTGCGTGTGATTGTGGCTGGTTATTTTTTTTCCAATCGCCTTTGAGATTTGTGCCACATGTCCTCAGGTTCTGGGACTGATTTTGCAAAGCTGTCTCGGTGCTCATTCACTTTCATCTCCCCAGCAAGTTCACCTATATATATACAAGCAACCTCTGCTTGAAAACTCTTCAATGTCCTCCTCAAGGATGGGGGTCACTGGTGTTTCTTTTCGGCTAAGAAACTACCCAAAACAAAACGTCCAGAGCTCTGTACGAGGCAGGCCGGAGTGTTTATTTGCCGATCTTGGTTGGTTGATTGATTGGTCGGGAGGGGCTGGAAACATCAACCCATGCAGCTTCCTTAACTTCCGCCCAGCAAATCATGGACCAAGCAGCATGCTTCAGATTGGAACTGCACTGGGAAGTCTTCGATGTCTTCGAAAATGTGGGAGTTGAGATCATGCAAATGCCTCAGACATTAAGTTGATGATCAGGGATTCAAAACACATAATTGAGATTCTGAGATTCCCTATCTTCGGGAGCAAAAGCCATTACCATCACGAGTCAGGGCGGGCTTGGTCCTCAATCAAAGCAGCACCAACAACCTTGACACGTGAATCATGTTTGATGCTTTGGGTACTGGCAACTAGAAGACCTTGACAGCCTCAATAGGCCATGCAACAACTCCGACTCAATTGCTGTTCTAAGTTATAAGGCGCAAAGATGCAAGTTTGCTGGCAAGCAGTTGCGCGACAACAAGGATGCCAACTTCAGCAGGCCAACCATGCCTGCGCTGTTTGACGGCCAACGTTTGAGATATCCATATTGTCCCCAAAACCGCGTTCTCTTTGCGGCGGGGAAGACAAGTGCCAAGTGGACTCTAGGCTAACTTCGTCTTTGGAACCATCGGTCCCTCATGAATGTTTGTTGGATTCCTCCATGCAAAAGAAATCGGATTCACACCAGAAAGGTGACAAAGCCGATGATACGTTGCAGTACATATCTTGATCGCTGGTCTTTACTCTACACCCAACCAATCCCAACTATATCCTTGGAAGATAGTTGGACCCTCCCAAGCCTACCCAAGTATCTTCTCAGGGTATAGCTTGAGTCCTGGAGATTGAGAATTCCCAAGGTGGAAACTTGAGTTTCTCCGCTCTGGCCAAATGGCCAGGGAAAATGCATGCAGGTTGGAGCGTCAAGCTCTTGGCCAGATTGCAACCGATCTTGCCCCATTACAGTACATCCTGAACCGTCCTGAATGAGTTCCACCTGTATACATGATTCTGCAACCTAACAAGGCCATCGATCCGCGATCAACAAAGACCATTCAACAAACAACTTCTTCGTAACCATGGGTCAGTAAATGATGCTACAACATGCAGCTTTGCCCAAGATCCGTATTTGGAACTTTCGAACCCTTTCCAACCTCCTTGAACCCGCCCTCTCTCTGGTCCATCGCTCCCGCCCTGACGTACCTGCGCCGCCCTCGAGGTGACCCACGTTGGTCTTGGCCGCACCCAGCTGGAGTGGCGCGCTACCCGAACGGCCGTTGGCCAATGCAGTCTGCAGTGCACCGACTTCCATGGGATCTCCCAGCGCGGTACCGGTGCCTCACGTCTGATGGGGTGGAACCGGGTGGGATAAGGATACAACTGGTGGGGCCAGCTGATAAATGTGGTTAATTAGATGATTATGATAAATTGTTGAAGATAGTTGACTTAAAGACCTGGAACTCGGCAAGACCTGAACGAATTTGGTGGGAATGCTTGTTGAACAGTCCAACTGCTCAGAGAACATGAGGACGTCTACGGGGGGGTGCCGTTGGGAACTATCTGCTGTGTCAAGCAACAAGATAGGCTACACCAGGTAACTTGGTGAGACCAGCAATTTTTCTAACCCAAAAAACACCCAAAAACACATATGCTACTTTTAAGTGACGCACCTTTACAATTGTGTTTGTTTGTTCAAGAACAACTCATCTTTTGAAACTTTTTGAACCCTAGACTCCTAGACTTCCTCTCGGATGTAACTCATGGAGCCAGTCCTGGAGTAGTCAGGAAACCATCCCGTGCCAACTTGAAATGCGCGAATGCAAGCAGGTGCCAGTGTCAAGGAGCTGGCAAACTCCAGGCATTGGTCTACAGATTATCACTCATTCCACCAATATGGGCAAATGCAATATGCTCTCTTTGATTCTTCACCAGCTTCAAACAACAATTGCACACCAACAAACCTCTACATGACATGGGAGTGCTTCTGCTTGGACCCGCATCATACGCAACGGATGCGCTCTTGCACAAGAACCTACCGTTTCAATCCTTTCTTGCGCCTGAAAAAATGAACCGTACGAACCACATTCCCAGAACCAGTTCCCCTAGAGCAGTGACATCCACAGAGAAGGACTGCATATGGAATCCCTCTGCCTGCTCTTCTATTTCTCTGGAGAATACATCTTGTGGCTGTGGCACAAAACATGAGGGTACCACTGAAGCCGGCTGGTTGAATGGACACATAAAAAAACTCTCCAGGTGCCCAAGGTCTGTATCTTTGACCCAACTCCATTGACCTCAAAGTATTTGACCGGTGGCTTTCAGTGGCTTGCTGCGATTTCTTGTTTCGTTGCCACCCACATCACGGTCTCCCACTACAGCAACCCATCTCGAGAATCTAGCCGAGCTTCCATGGGTCTCAACACATGCATGGCTCGCAGGATTCAGTTGAGCTTCGGCCAAAGCGGACAGCACCACAGCTTGCCTGAGCGGGACAGGGTCCCTGGATTGATTGAGCATCTGTTGAGCCCAAGCTGTCAGGGTGTTCATGTCTGGAACAAACCCACCCAGTCACTACAACGGATGATCTAGCCAGAAAGGAGCCACCCCAACACCCAACAGCCCCTTGGAATCAATGAAACTGGGTGACCAACAAGCGGAATGGGCAACAAGCGGACGAAGACCAAGAACACCTTGCAGCTTGCAGGGTCTCTCCTCGTTGGGCTCCACAGGTATATAATAGCTACCGGTCCACCAAGAGCTGACAACCGGAGCTAAACACTCCGAGCTCGTCCACAAGCAAGACTGGAGTCAGACCGGCCAAATGTCTATGAAACATACCAGCACCTGACTCAAATCAGGTCTCCTCTCCATGGCTTTTGACATCAAAGTTGCATGGCCCGGACCTTGTTTGGGGCATCAATTCTGTGTCACATCATACGTCATCATAGATGTTGTGAGAGGCTGAAAATCAGAAGTACACCACGGCAAAAAAGTCACCCTTTGGACCGGCATCAGAGTAGGATCACCGAATGCACCCAAGATTGACTGCGTGACCCCCCTTTCTGAGGTGTCCTCTGTTTAAAACCACCAAAAGGATGATATCAGATGACACTATGAACAATCAATCCTGCAGCCACCCCTTATGATGCTGGCGGGCGCGAGCTCTCTCTCTCTCTCTCTCTCTCGCTCTCTTTCTTTCTCTTTCTTTTCTCGAGAGCAGCACATGTTGTTTTGCATGAAACATTCACATGGATCCTGAATTTGCTTCATAGGAATCGTGACGGGACTGTGGAAGAAATCATCTAAGAATCCAAGACATTCTATAAGACACAACATTGAAATTTGCCTTGGCAGGAGCTGACCATGCCATCATGGCCCTTGGAAAGAACTTGCCTCCCAAAGCCACCACACCCTCCAAGCGGCTGGGACGGTCCGTTGGGCGAGGTCAAATTGGAGCTCCTTCCGTCCTCAGCAGGGTGAGGTTGACATAGTTGACATGGTTTCCACTCCTCCCAGCTTCACGTGTTCCACCGGGCCACCATCTTGGACACGGCGATGGCTCAAAGAATAAGGCCTCACACCCTGAAGATTTCATCTACCAGCACTTTGCTTTGGACAGTGTGTTTTTTTGGTATGTTGTGTTTGCCATTCCCACAACCACTCCATAACACTCAACACGTAATTGCGCGAAGCACCGCCAAGTGCCACCAGGCGTCTTGGTTTAGCGCCGAGCCCCTCAGCTCCGCGATCGCGGTGCGGCTGGAGCTGCCCAAACGTTCTAAGGCGTGGGATCCGACTCCCTCGCCTGCGTGCAGAAGCCGAAACGGGTTGGTGGAAGTGGTGCGAACAATCAGAATGGATGTTGATGTTGGTGAATATCAGGAGTTCCAAGTTGGGGTGGTTTGCCAGAGAGTTCCTGGAATCCATCCCGGAGCCAATCCTTTTGTTGATTAATTGCCACTTGGCAGGGCCCTTTGTTTATATAAGTTTGCTTGACTTGAGGATCCAAGAATCGGCGGGACTTAAAGTGGCGACACCCTATGTAGTGAGTGGAAGGCACCCTAGTTATTGCAAGGATATTATATCCGAACAGTTATATATGAACCATTTTGCATTAGGGTCTTGCTGGCTTCTATTGGTTCAGCCGCCAGCAAAACTATCCTATTCTGTTCATCTTCTTAAGTATAGCGCAGTGACAGCTCCGGGCTCCGGAGTCCCAATGTTGGTTCGGGCAAACCACTTGGGGAGACTTAGCCAAAAGGTTTTGATGATAGCCGCAGGTTGCATCGCATGGATCTGCGCCTCGTGCATATCCACTGGCACTATCATCAAAGGTCTTACAGCGGCCGCCCTTCGAGAGCATCTGCGCTTGGCAGCACGCGACAAAGGTCTGCGGCAGAAGAAGCCTTGTCTGAGTGAGTTTGGTGAGTTTGATATGGCTCCAAACAGCACAAAAAAGACTGTCCAGTTTGGATCAACTCAGTTTCGATCAACTGGCGTGTCCCTCACCGCAAATGCAAGTGCACAAATATATATATAAGGACCCGAGTGGGCCGACCCAAAGGAGTTCTTATTGATGTTTATTGGAACACCTCAAGTGATCCTACTGCACCACATGTGCCGGATCTTTCCACTACCTTCATCTCATTTCTTCGGGGGTGAACTGCAATCAATTCTACTTGTTGGGTTCTTTGGGCCACCACACGGAAAGTGGCAAAAACACGCCCGCTTAATTTTAATAGATAAGCTTGTGTGAGCCCAGTCTTCACTACCAAACGACCAAAGAGGCATGACCACATGGCTCTGTGATGCTTCCAGGATGCATGTTCACACCACAAACCACCGCCAAATCACATCGCCGTCTTCGAAGAGTCACCTCAGAGGTGAGCGAGTTGGTGCCCAGCCAGGCGCATCCATCCAGTGGACATTCCAAAGAGGATCTCAGTCTCAGTCTCAGTGTCCTTTTTTCCAAATCGGCTCATTTCGCATCTAGTCCATAGACATGTGTGATTGCCGTTAAATACACCCACACATCGCAACGGAAGAGCCGTCATAGGTATGCAATGCCAGCTTTGGAACAATGCACGAACAAACCAGGTGGTCTCTCTTGGGACGTTGCTGTTGATGGCCACGCACACAGTCACTTTGCATGGCTGTATCAGAATAGAAGAGTTCACACCTAAAAAAAGAACTTGATGATTCTGTCAGTTAAGTTAACTAGGTCTAGGTGAGATTCTTGTACTCTCCGAAAAGAATTGATCCTGAAAATGGCCCAGCTTGGAAGATTGCTTTCCTCTACAAAGCACTGTAATTTGGCCCCGGTCTTGATCCTGCTTTGAAAAAGGCTGGCAACACCACAGCACTCACAGTCTCAATCTAAGACTCACTTGGTCCTTGTGCCATATGGTCCCCTGCTGCCCAAGGCACAGCTGCGGTATCTGCAGCCACCAGGGAGGAGGAACAGGCTGTGTCCATGGTTGCAGAGGGGCCCTTGAGTCCCAAGGAGTAGCCTGAACGCCGATTCCGTGCTCAGATGGATCGGTTTGTGATGAACTTCTTTGGATCACCATCAATCCATCATCATCTGATACTAAGACTTAACCATCCCCCTCCACTTGTTATTCTTCGATTACCTATGGGGCGAATCGCCTGCCTAAGCCCACACGATATCAAATAGCATCCCCCAAACTCGACATGTCGCACCCACGGAGCAGAGTACAGTATATAGTATATAGTATATAGATCCTTCTGTGTTGTGTAAGTTTGAGGGAGTGTTGCCGTCCTTCAGTGGGATGAGTGGGATGTTGATGTTCTGGTGGTTCTGATTCCATCGACCCAGTCGCTGATTCGATTGGCGCTGATGGAGGAGGAGCCGCCGGTAGCCGCATAGGGACCACCTGAGTCAGTCGTGCCAAACATCTGGCGAAACTGATTGATAAAATCTAATTTTAGGTAGATTAAGCAGTTGGGGGTGCGGTGGAGAGTTTTTTTTTTTTTCCGGCCGAACATTCAACGCGCTTTGTTAGTTGGTTGATGTGAACATGTGTAGGGGACAGTCACACTCCGTATTAAACCGGGATGTTGAGTTGGTCCAACTGCATGGTTCACCGGCGGGAGTGGCATGAACATGCATAGGCCCGCAGACCTCTGGACATGCTCATGATCGCATTCTCCGACTCAGCAACTCCACTAGGAGCCAAAAGGTCCTAAGTGGTTCTATGATGACCAAAACATGTCTACGTTCTCAGACTTTGTTGCTGTCTTCTAGGCCCTTATGAGTCCAGCGCTCGACTACTCTGCCCAAGACACTTTGGGCTCCCGTGATCATGCGGTTCCAATCACATTTGTCCTGGACACATCGATGCACACGAAGGGTTGGTTGGAGGGCTTCTCACATGTGGCCTTTGCAATGTAATGGACCGGGAAGAAGCGAAAAGCCCGGGTGTTGGTCAAACCAACTGGATATTTTCCTCAACAAATGGCCTCACAGCCCACAGCTGCTTTAGGGCGAACTGCTTGATTCGAGGAGCGCTCAAGAAGAAAGTTTGAAAGGACTCAACAACTCAACAAATCATCATTTGCGAGATACCCTCATATGTCACTGGGACCCAGTCCCGCCCCGTCACTTGGGGAGCTCGTTGGAGCTTCCAGTGGATGCGGGGTATCAAATCAGTGCAGGAAGTCTGAATTCCGTTCAGAGTAACTGCATACATTGCTAGACGTAGCTACCATTGTTGCCAAAATGAGTAGCAGTCTTTACGTCACTACAGGCCCTCGTAACTCACCTGCCTGGCCCCAAGGCTGAGCCTCACTTACGCTAAAGCCACTTGAGCGCACAATCAATGCCTTGGGATGGAACACCTAAAGCAAATGTCATCTGAGCAATTCCGCCTGGCCCACGAACACGCCCCCGAAGCTTCCCATCAGGCTGCCCTTGTTGAACCCGCCAGCCTGCGACAAGCGATCAGATTCGTAGCTGCTCAGGAGAGACGTTCTTGTTTTCCAACAAAAAAGGTCCAAGGTTGTTATCCTTATTCTAAAAAACATTAAAACACAATATATATGTATATATATGTATATGTATGTATATATATATTATATGTCCGTTTTTGGTTTCCTGAATACTTGTCACCCTTGATGATGTCTGCCAATCTGATCAAAACTGGAGCGATGACCCCATCAAGGTTTCCGCATCCGGGGATTCCGCTGGGATTGACGGATCACAAATGGACTGACAACAAACATCAGGGCTTGGCGTCGGAAAGTCAACATTGGACAGCCGGGCAGCTCGACCAATCAGTTCTCCCAGTGATTCAGATTGACAATGGTTGGACAACTTGAGCCGGTCAAATCTAGCCTCAGGGCTAAGTCCAGCTCATGTTCATTTGGACAACAATCTTTGCATTGGAACTCGGCAAATTCAATCCCAGCCGCTGAAAGGGCTTCGAATGCAGCTTCCAACCTCACAGAGCCAGCAAGTTAATGTGGACGTTTCTTTGCTTAGGCATTTCAATTAGAAGAGTAACTTTGCGAGAGACTGTGTGGCGTCTTTTTACAGCCACACGTGCTACCCTACGATCTTGGATCGGGGTGAACATATTGAGGTGGCCTAGAATGCGGTACCCAACCTCTGTGCATTGACTCTGCTTTTTGTTAAATCTCAGCTGGAGTACTGTATATGTGAAGGCAATCATTGGGTTGTTTGTCCAACTTCACAAACAACTCAAGATCCCCTATGAGGAAAACGTGTTGAACTCATTGCATAATGCTTCAATGATTGTTCAACAAAATAATTGCAAGACTCGACTCTTGAGCGACACTGAATTTGTTGTTGATCAACCAAAGCCTGACAAAGAATCCAATGCCAAGGTGCAAATGTCTCTGCTGTGGGTCCATGGTTTCCGCTTCAGCCTGGCAGGATGTGGCTTGATCGAATGCATTTCGGAAAGGTGTAGCTTCCGAAATAACCCACCACCGGTATCTCAAACAGGCAAACGCAGGACCGACAGGGAGACTCCCAGCCTCCCTGAAACCAACCTCTACTTGTATAAAAAGTGCCTGGGTCGTCTCATTTCCATATAAACCAACCTCACATCGCTTCAGCTTGGTGCTCAAGAGGCTGTGCAACAGTCATGTTTTATGTATGGCTTTCACTAGGTTGTGCACTCTTCCATAATATACCAGGAAAAAAAACAAGCTCCACAACCATGGTCAATGTCAAAACCAAATAAAAGCAGTCTTCGCCTGAACATATTCTGGAAAGGTCCAAACACTGCAACAAATAAGGCCAGGGCCATGGCCAAATTCCTGTGGGGGGACATGAGGAGTACATAGAAATCGAATTGACCTCAGTGGATACCCACAAACGTGGATGTTATATGTAGTAGGTCGACCCCCCCAAATCTATCCCAAAAGCCCACGGATGAGCCCCAATCGGACCGGCCCGACCATGTAAGAAGGTTCTAAAAGATGCAGAACAACCCCCAAACAAGTACCAGCACTTCTCATCTCGTCGCTACTAGCTCTACCCAGCCTCCATCTTAGTCTCATTGGCACTCCAACTGAGAGCAGACTCCAGATCTAATCTTTGGGTATGCCCCTTGTCTGAGCCGCTGCTCTGAAAAAATAGCCGCCATAAACCACCGCCATCTTGGTCTTTTCGTTTCCGTCCTTGTTGATTCCAAAGGTGGTCGCAGCAAAGAGTTCGACGCCCTCGATGAAGGCGGCATGTCGCACGTACATCTTGAGACCTTCTTCGCGTCGTGCCGTGATGGGGCTGACATCTAACAGTGGATTCCTGACATTCGATATTAATATGGATCCAAAATAACTCTGACCGAAAGTTCAGGGGTTGCATGGATATCCGCAGGTTCTTTCAAGTCCATTGGGTTTGTCCTAATTGTCTTATAGGAACATTGGTTCTTGGTTCTGAGCTTAAATCGCCACTTGCCTCTGAGTGGCCAGTAGGTGTGTGATATTTGGGAGAGGGGCAACCCTGGCATTGCCATGGCGAACGAACCAACATCTTGTTTGCTACCTCTTGTCAAATGCTATCGTAATGCTTAGCTGCTTGGGTTATGCCCTTCCACAAGTGATCTCTGATTGTTGCGCTTCACAGTCTGGCGTTCCCTTCTCGTCTCCTGCAGTGAAACCATTGTCTGGGTTGTACCCATTTTAACATCCAATCCTGGGAACAACCTCGTCTATCTCATTTTTGTGAAGCATTCCCAACTAACCCGGATCCTCGGTCAAGGGAGTTCAAGAACCGAATTAATTCCGCCATCGGCTCCATTCAACTCCGACACAAAGTAAAGGGAGACCCCTCGATCTGCCCCACGGGTTCGGTTTGGGAGTCTTTGTATTTCTTGTGAGGGGATCTGATTGGAGGTCTTCCTAATCGAATCCAAAACATTCCGATGTGCCGTTGATCCCCTGCCTGTAGTTGCATCTGGATCATAGTACTCATCCACATCCCACCTGAGAGAAGCACGACGCGACTCTGGGATCCTTTTGGGTCCTCAACCTCATCCTGAGAAGGTTCTTGGGTGTCTAGCACCTTCTGCTGGATGTGGAATGACAGGTGAGTCAATCACCCAAAGGTTCTGATTCGGTTCCTGAACCTTGCAAACGAAGGCTTTGTGGTCTTGAACGTGGCTCTCACCAATGAATTACCGTGGTTCTTTGGACATACTACTGAAATTATCATAATTTCTGATTCCTGGCCACACTTTTAACCAGCTTGATTTTAAAGTTTTGGATGTTACCCCCGTGTTTCAGAAAGCTCCTGACAGAACCACCAGCTAGTACGGCTTACTACACCTCACGTTGAGGCAAGCATGAACGGCGAAACCCTGACCCCTCGCCTGCTGTGTGGCATCTCCACGCTACAATCAACGCCCATGGAGAGCATGAAATCAAACTTCTCCAAGGACCAGCTGTCTCCTGGAGTTGAACCAAGGTAATTGACCCCTTGAGAAATACAACAATAGGGCCTTCATAACAAGTCAGCAGTAGTATAACTGACTACGTTCAGAGGTTGAAATGACTTGTTTGCTTCTTGCGAAACCCTGGTTCTAAGTACCGTGTGTGAATTCTTCAACAAGGCCACTGGTCCATCAAGCACGAGATTTGTCTTGAGCCACAGGCCGATGGGTCCAAACTAATTACTTGAGCACTGATCGTACTGTTTGAGTCTATGGACCCAGTAGGCCCATCAACGAAGCAATAAAATGCCTGAAATGGGATGTTCTTGGGACTTGAAAACCAGATCTAGATTGTTTGATACCGGGGATGTTTCACAAGGGGGCTCAAAAGGTGGCATTCCAGTCTGGGATTGATATTACTGCAAAAGAAACACATTCTAAATTCAATATCAGATTCAACATGCCTTGATCTGTTCTCAACAAAGGCAAAACTTGAATGGGATAATAGGTTGCTTCCTAGGTTGCTCACAGCTCGACATGCCAAACCATGGGATCTCCTGGCAAATGGCAAGCGCCGCCTAAGACAGCCACGTGCTCGCTGACGCCGGCGCCACGTGCTGGCGCCAGGGCACGCGTGGTCGGGGCGACTGTTGCAGCTGCTGGCACCGTGTCGGGGAGCAACTGCTGTGAGACATAGTCCGCGAGGGCTGTGAGGGTGGGGTAGTCGAACCTGAAACAAGGAACTTTCAAGGAACCCGAGAACCAACATTTTTGCGAAACAAAATCATACGCGTTAACACCAAGATACACCGAGAGCCAAAGGAGATTGGTGAGTGTTCCTTCTTCAATTGAAATAGGACACGCTGGGGAAGGTAGACTGGGTCACTGGACGTCCACCTCAAGTGAGAGAAGATCTTTCAGTAACTCTAGTGCAGTCTGAATGTGGGAGGTCCCAAAGGAGACAACTTCATTCAAAACGTAGACAACTGCTGAAGGACAAGCCGAAGGTCAGGCAACAGTTTCAAAACTGGAGTTGTTTTTCTCTTACAAGATCTTACATGTGCTGGTTGGTTGGTTGGTGGGTTGGTGTGTAAGCAAAGATTTGCCCCTGGGAGGTGCTTGTCTTCTGCTAAATCTCTAAGTAGCCAAAAGGTGGGTTGATGTGTACTCAAACTCATCTGTCAGTCACATAACTTGCTAGTCACCCGAATACCCAACAAAGAAGCTACACCGAAATCTTTGCATTGGTGCTGAATCCCACATGTTCCCACACCCCGGCGCACGAAACCAAAGAGCTGAGCCATTGAAAGGTGAATGAAAAAGTGGGAGAGACCAGGGATAGTTTTGGATCTTCCCTCGGAGCACTTTGTCAAAGCAAAAGGAGCGGAGAAGTTTCTTGAGACACTTCGATCAGTGGCCCATCGAGGCTAGAGAAACTGCTGTGTTCGGCCTGGTCCAAATAACTATCTTAATTAGATCAACATGCCAAGCCCCCATGGGGTCAAGACCATAAAACACATTCATCCAAGAAACATCAGTGTGCTCGGCAAGCGCACGGAGCGGAACTCGCTTGACACCTCGATGCAAACTGGCTCACACATCATAACAAACACTTGTCATGTTTCATGTTCAATAGATCTTGAGCGACCTAACACAAAATAGGAAAATATGTTATACGCAAATGAATAATAAATATATACATACACATATATAAATATACACAGTAATTAAATGACTTTAGAAGGGACATGCAAGATCTTCGAGGAAACGAGCAGAGCATTGCTTAGCAAAAGTGTGTCGTCTTCAGGATCCATGTGCCATGGGTGAGATCCTCGTGCAAACTTCTAGAAAACAACTCCGGCACTCCGCATCTGAATCAACATGGCTTGGTTGTGGTTGGCTCATGAACCTATCTCAGCCAGTTGAAGAAATGCATTCCAGAACACCACATACAACAAGTATGCCTCTCACAAATCGATTGACTGACTGTGTGAAATCCGGAGGCAAAAAGGATTCCCATCTTCCTAAGCAAATCTGCTCCACAATGCGTTCATCATTGGGCGAAAAAACACAACACAACAATACAGCACAACATACATATGTGCAAACACGCGGCGAAACAAGCGGGGTGTTTTAAACATCAGGCCTTGTTGCGGAACTCCACCGCTGAGAGGGAGTCGATACCTGCCTCCATCAAAGGTGTGTGATCATCCATCTCCAGACCTCAGGCTGCGCCACCACACTGGGCAGTGAAGTGATCTTCTTACCCAAAATGGACTCCAGTGACTGACGTCATTTCTGAGGAGAAACGGAATCATCGTTGGTCATTGACCACTTGAGCAAAGAAAAACACCAGTCTGGCCACTTGATTAAGGGGAATTTGGGCAAGCGAACCTATCACTTTTCAGCCACTGGTGTCTCAGCAGAAGGAACCTCTACCCTACAAGGTTGTTGAGAACTTTGAACCCACCACTAGTTGGGCTTCACCTCCCAACAATCAAGGTCTTTGAGGACCTCTGATTCTATCCAGGCGGCCCATGCCAGAGGCCGCTGCACGGATGGAGTCCAAGACCTTCTTTTGTCGCTCCTCCACATTTCGGTGGTGCGGTGAAAACTGAGGACGTCAATCATTTCCAGACCCCGGATGAGAAAAGGCGAGGTAGTCTATGAGTTAGAGGCTCTGCCTGGGTGAAGGTAGACTACATCCAAGGGTCAAACTTGCAATCTTCAGCGGAAACTGGTGGACCAGGGCATCAGGAAATCTGCAAAACGACAGTAAATTCTGCTATCTAATTCCTTGGATAATGGAAACATGGAATGTCTTCTGAAACATCACCAAAGCCCAGGTAGTGGGAGTGAAAGGGATCCTTCAAAGAACTATTTCTCAGCTCTTGGCACACGTTTTTGAACCAAACAGACTTACAGGGCCTACAGGATTCGTTGTAAGTAAGATTTGGTTGAAATTTAGTGTGCAAGGACACATATGAACACCATACTATAACTTAAACTCATATGACTCATATTGGACAAAGATCAAACAAATCTGGTTGGTGATTCAAACAATCCTGCAACAAATCAGTAAATTCGGATAGCCCTTCCCAATCAGGGATGGGAACGTAGAGCAATCCCAAGCCGCCAAGCAAACATGTTTGTTCTGTTCCTCGCAGCCTGCCCCCGGGTATTACAATACCTTGCCATGGGGGATTTCCGCGCTCCTCGAGGGGCAGCAGCGCAAGTGCAGAAGATGCGCCACCACCTACTTCAATTTGGATCAACGTGAAGGTCATTCAAACTTTGCAGTTGCATGCGCAGGGAAGAATCCCTTTCAACACTCTCCATTTAAGGTGATCAATTTCTTTGTTGGTTCTCTTCTACATGAATACCTACAGGAACACCCTTTTCTGGGTACGGAAAATATATTAGCATTTTTCCTAAAAATCTTGTCATTTCCTGAAAGTCCTCCAGGTCGCATCGTGTTGTGGAAATGTTTGTACGCGGCCAAACCAATCTATTGTGGCAACAGGCCATCTCTTTGTTTACATGTTGTTTTGGTTGCAGGTGCCCAAGTGATGGGCATGATGGGCAAGATTGATCGAGCCGGTGCTAGATTCAACGCTAGTGCCTTTGGCACCCTGTTTTACTGGGAGAATCCCCAAATCCTCATGGCGGGTCCATTGGGGAGTCCGGCGAAGCCGGAGAATGTGATCTTTTGTGTCTTCGGAATCCAAACAAATTGTCACTACTGTCACGAAGCATTAATGCCACCGCCCCCCCAAATCACAGCTTCAATGCCTCTCTTGTAAGCCCTTTTGCAGCTTCCATACTCTTCCATCAGTAGCCATGTCGGGGTGCCCATTATTCACTCAGGTGGGGGGGTGGAACTCGTCGTGTTTTCCTTTTCATCTTTGTCGCATTTTCTAGCTATAGAAGTGTTGGGTCCAGAACTTGCATTCGCTGCCTGAGCTGGCCGCTGCAGTGCTTTTTGACTCCAAGTCCATGAACTGAGGAATCTCCATTCCGACCTCAGCCACTCAATCCAAGAACTTGCGAAAGAGACCAATGAACACATATCAAAAGCAAGGGTGCTCACTCTGGAGTTCGCAAAGCACCTAAAACCATGGGCCACAGAGGCATCTTTCCATTGAAAAGGAACAGTTTTTGGTGGTCTTTATATGTTGATTGATGGGTGGTAGCCTGACTGACAACTTGTTTCAAAGTTGGTTCATCTTGGATTGTCTTGGCCAATTGTCAGATGGCATCACGGAATCGTCTTCGACCCAACATCTTCTTGCCCTTACAGTAGGCATCACAGGTTTCGCCCCACTTGAACAGGATCCCCTTCCGCCGCCAACGTAACAAAGAGCAAACAGGTTGGTGCGTGCCTCGCGCATGAAGGCCGGCCAGTCTGCGCGCGCGAGCAGCAGTTCGGAGCGGGGTGAAGGCCCTGCCAAGGTGAGGCGCAAGGCGCTACCCACCTGGCGAAACGGACCATCAACAAGTTTCCAGGAAGTAAATAGTATATTGTTGGAACTTCTGCACACGAACCATCCCTCTGTGACCCCACTGAAGTTTGCGCACGTCAGCTGAGGCCTTTTTTTGCTGGCAAACCACGTGCGGCCTTTCACTTGCGGCTCATGTCAATATGTAGAGACAGCCTCTCCGTCCTCGGGAACTTTGCTCCCCAACCCAAAGTGGATAGGCTCTCAGGCAAATCGACATTCTTCAAGGACTGGTTAAAGCCCTCACCCAAGGTGAAACACTCCAGACTCTCAGGAAAGACCACCTCGAAGCAGGGAATGCTCGACCATCCTGGAGTGCTTCACAATACATTGGATAGTGGTCCTTTCACCACAAGCTAGTTGATAACAGCTGGGTTACCAAAAAGTATGCTAAAACTTTCCTGTAAGAGTAGGAATGGACAGACTGGCACAGTCTCACACACCAGTACCCATCAATGTTGTGCCAAGAAATCATCCAAACTTGTCCCAACTCTCGTTCTTGAGACCCTGAAAGTAAGTAGACCCGCGCAAAACAATTTGTGACTGCACACTGGTGACTTGTCTACCTTCCCACCTGGTCTAAGCCTAAGCATTGGTTGGACTTGTCGCCCAAGCTCAAATGCTTCAAACTCGCTGGGACATGCGCAATCTCGAAACTCTGATTAAAGAAAAAACAAAGGTCAAAAGCTGCTTTAAACTTTGGTTTAACTTCAGAATCTGCAACTAGTCTGCAAATGAGCTAATGAAGGTTGATGAAGGGCTATTAGTAAAAACAGTGACGGCTATTGGAGGGATAAAATATCTGTGATTCTGACTGCTTGAAGTCTAGAAACCGATCACCAAAACTCAAGCTCTTGAGACACTGTGGCCAAGCAAACCCCTGCAAGGGCCGGTTGAACTCATGGCCCAGAGTGAAGCTTTGAAGGCTGGCGAAAAGCTGCAGCTCCTGGAGGAAACTGGTAGATAAACAAAGGAAACTGATGAACAGGAGATGCTGCTATGATCGGCTGTGCGTATAAACACACATGTATATGTATAGGTATATGTTACACACTCACTTGGGACGGCGCGCGCCCACAGCCAGCAAGCCAGCGGAAGGCAGTCCGAACCAGGTTCGATCCCACTGTGGGGCAGCTCTCGATCATCCCATGTTAGGACGACGCAGCTGTAAATGGCCGAACCAAATCATTGCAAGTCCTGTTCGCCTCCCAATGCAAAACGTACGAATGTCCTCCAAACCACGATCACGCACTTGGTTCGAACAATTTAAAGCAAGGCCACCTTGTCGGGGCCCCGCACCGATTGCACTCAAATCTACACTGCGGATGTCCAGCGCATCAAACCCAAAATGAACCGCGTACGATCGAACGTCTGAGAAGCTCCAAAACAGACACTTCTGGCACTCGCCTGGCCTTTGTTCAAACTAGGTAACAGAAGCGAACCGGCAAACCATCTGTAGCACCAAACAGCAAGCTCCTGCCACTGCCACGTAGCTGCGCACGGCGGCTGTTCATCAGCAGCCTCATCAAACAGCCGCTGAACAAGCTGCACTCCGAAGAGCCCAAAAGCTCCGAGCTCTGTGCACTCACGAGCCAATTCGATGGAAGCGCTTCCAAAACGACTTCTATTTTGAGGGTCTGGCGCGCCGGAGTCAGTCAGGCGCCGCCTCCTCGTGAGCTTGAGTCTCTCGCACTGCAGGCAAGTGCAACTGTTTCAAGCGTTGCCATTCAGCGTCAACCTCACAGTGAAGCGCCTGCAGATCACAAAGAGTCCTCAGTTCATCACGCTGGTGGCAAACAAGATGAAACCACAAGGAACGAACCGTCTCGCTGTGCATGGAGTGCGCTGCAGCTGCTGCACGATCAGCCAACTCGTTCCAGTGTGCGATCCATGCTGTCACCAGGCCCTCACACTCAACCTCCTTCAAGTGGCCAGGGATGTGGCGACAGCGAAATGCACATGGCAGGCGTTGAATCAGCTCGGCGCAACGTTCCCGCAGTCTTCATTCTGCAGCCTCCAAATGCCTGTGGCTGTGTATGCACTGTCTGTCCAGCAAACAACGGGGCACCTATGCTCCACTAGGGACCACCCCAGAGGACAAGGTCGTCGTGGCATGCGTGGCACTAACCAGCACCCAAAATGACAGAGCACACTCAGGCATGTCAGGACACAGACAAGACCCATCTGTGAACAAGTCTATCCAACCTTGCGCCACTGGCATTGCTGGTACTTGTCCCCTTAGCTTGGCCACTTCAAACTCCCCCCGCCTGGACCTAACGCCGGCGTGCCGCTGGTGAATACCTGTCAACTGATTGCAGGACACGCGTCTATGGTCAAGGTCATCAGGTGTGAAGCAGAACGGATGGTTGTGAAACTACCTGCGCCTGTTTGGGCCATTCAAATGCTTCTTTGCTCGTCGAGCCACCGCCCAATTGATCAAAGACAAGTCCTCAAAGTCTGAGCGATGTCGAACCTCTCCTGACACCCAGTCCATCCATGCATCCTCCACAAATTGAGAAGCAAAGGCTCAGGAATCATCAAAAGATCAACGTCTACACCATGGTGCGTGCAGAGGAGGACCTTCGATTCTCCAGCCCAAGGGCAAGCACGAAAAGGGTCCAGCTCGCAGATTCCCATCATATCCCGCAAAGTGCTGCTGCTACAGGTCGACCATGCAAAGCTTGCAGCCAAAAGGCCTGTTGCAGGACCATGTGCTTCAGATGCTCATCGGCCCCCAGGTTCCTGAGCCTCGCCCACAATGGATCCAAAGAAGCAATGTCAATTCGCCTGAATAACTCCGCTGCGGAGCCCCAACTCCGGCACTGGATCTCACCCCCAGCCCCATGAACGTCAGAGCATCCTTGTCATCAAAATTTGTAGACCAGGTCCACGACTTCCGTGTCAAGATGCAAAAACTCTTCCAGAATGATATCATTGTCCTCTCTGCAGTTGGGTGATCTCCTGACTGAGCGTGCCCAAGTTGTCCACAAAAGACAACGGAACTGTGGCGGGGAGAAGTGCTTGAGATAGAAGTGAAGACTCAGGTCAACAATTCCCATTGCATAGCAGCTCAGGGCGCAGCCCTCAGGTACACCCGGTGCGGTCCAAAGGAGGTCCGGTTTCACCACGAATGTGAAATCTTCGCTTCATTTGCACAAGAAACTTCTCCAAGCTGACAAAATACAAGCCGGTGCTCCAATATGTTTAGCAAGCTCAAACATTGGCAATCTTGGAATGTTCTCGAGTGATTTTTGAATGTCCGTGAACAGACCCTTCATGGATGTGCCAGCTGCTACACACAATTCCACGAACCCTTAAACACACAATTCCATGAATCCTTGAATCAGGAAAGGTGTGTGCAGGGCTTCCTTGCTGGGGAGGAAACCAAACCGTGTCAGTTGCCGGTGATGCAAGGTGCGCCAATAAAGGTCTAGCCCTGGCTGTGGACCAGCTTTTGTAGACAGCTGAAAAACACAATTGGCCTTTAGCGGGCCACCTCGACGATTTTTGGCCAAGCAGGCCACAAAGCCTGTCAAGAGTTGCTCCGGCCAACTGACCCGACCTTCCTCGACTGCAGTCAGCACAGATCAACCAGCGCGCTCTGAAACCCACAAGAAGGAGACAGTTGCAGATCTCGTCCATGAAACCCATCAAGTCCTCTGGCCGCTCTTTCAGAGTATCTAGTGTTGACATGCTGCCAGCCACTGCGGCACCTACACGCTTGGGCGCAAAAATGAATGAGGTTAGGAAAATGAACATGCCGTCCTATCTGCCCGGCGATCTGCGGCATGCAAACCTTTGCTTGGAGCTGAAAACAAGATTACATACTAGATTATATATTATAGTATATATTATATAGTTGAAAGGCCCTGTGACTCGAATCATGTCCTCAAAGAAGCGAATTCTAAGATTCGTGCAGCCAACCTAGGACTCGGGGCCTGTACATCAGAAAAATGTTGTGCTTTCCAGTCTCAGTCCCACTTCAATTCCTGCCAAGAATTGTGACAGCATCTGAACAAGTATCAAGGAGTCAAGGGATGGAAAAAAACACGGAGACGAAACCCCCCTTACCCATCCAGCGTTGACCCTCCAACGCCCATCAATGATGCACCAGATCTCCACTGGGGAAGGTTAGACATCTTTTTGGAGGCAAAAACATCAAGCACTTTTGGCACAATTCCCCGTCAAACTATATGCTTTTGCCCACATCCCCAAATCATCAAAGAAAAGCCTTAAAAAGAGGTATGCGGCATGCGGTATATCGGGACACGGGATCATCTGTGCACAGAGAGCGGGATCACTTGCATACACCGAATCTGGATCATGTGTGCAGGCAGCTTCTGGATCATCTGCACACACACACAGATTGCATGGCGATGGGGTGATGGGTGGGGTGGGGATGTGGTCTGCATCCAAGCAATTGGAAAACAGCAAGAGCGTGGATTGAAACAACAAATTATGAGATCGCGCATTCGGATTCTCAGGCCGCCAACGCATTGGGACAAACTCTGCCAGGAACGATTCGCAATGTGCTGGTTTTACATTGCCCATCTTAGACCACAAAATCTTCCTACCACCGCGCCGCGCGCATATAAATGGTCTGGATTCCGCGTGTACAAACGAACCTGCATTGGTATAACATATTTTCATTTGATTCGCCCAATGTCCAAAGTCCAAATTTCAGAACATCTATGTCTGATGCTGTCTACACACATACACATACTGTATGAGACACTTGACAATGAACATCGTCATATCACCGTTATTCTGGTGACTCTGATGATTTTATCAAGAGCGAAAAGAACCCTAACATGTCAATCAATTATTCTAGGAGACTCGTAGTGCAGCTGAAGGCTCTGCAGGCTTTTGTTAGATTTGCTAGTCAGGAGCTGGAGAATTACAAATCTCTCTACATTATAAGCTCCCTGCAAACTGGAATTCCCACATTAGTGTCATTCAGAAGGGAAGTGAGCTTTACAAGTAGCAGTAGCCAAGTTTGGAGTGCTAATTTTGACACTTAGCAGGTCCTTGTGACAGTGGGACAAAATCTGAAGTCCTTGATCACCTGCCATGTTCAGCTTTTGAGCTTGAAGCGTCACTTGATCAATCCCCATCACATCTTTCATCAACTAGGAAGAAGCACTTGATCAACGCTGCTGAGCTTCTGGCAACTGCTCCCAGCAGGTCAGCGACGAGAGCCTTCCCTCAAAGCCACCCTCTGGGGTCAGCGCATCAGACGCTTCCGAACACTCCCAGAAGAAGGACCAGGCCACGTGAATGTTCACTGGGACATACACCTCGGCGGGCAAACAGCTGCACCGGCACTTACACCCGGAAAAAAAATCATAGAACCATACGCATCTTTAAGTATCATAGAATCATGCGCCGAGATAGTGATTTCAAGGGTCCAACCGCAAACCATAGGGCACAGGCCCGAGGCCACATCTCGAGGATCTCATGATATGGGCATGATAGATTTGAAGCACCATTGATGTTCACAGTGTTTCCTGCAGAACCACTGATTGTTTTACATTGTTCTCCCAAGGATTCTATGCTACAACACCAGGTCGACCATAGTCAACCTGTCTGACATTCAACAGTCTTGGAATGCTACACAGGGCATGTTCTGTTGCTTGTCTTTGATCCATGTTTTCACGCGCCAGAGGTTTGGTCTGCACCGTCCCCATCTATGCAACCGGTTGAATGAAGGGCTGCTGGGATGGCTTACCATCAGCGGAGAAAGTAAGAAACACAGCAGGTATGGTTCAAATTAATTATCGGAGCAATTGGGATTAAGCACTGGCACTGCCTTGCCTAAGCAGGGGTCACCTACACACAGAAACAGGCAATGACCCGTGTCACTAGGTGATTGTGACCTTAAAAGTTGGTTACACTGGCCAAGCCGTGCTCCTATGTTCATCCCAAAGGAACGATTGAACTGCATGCTGAACTCCAAGAACCCAAGGACAGCGTCGCGTGGTCCAAGATCTTTTGCTCTAACAAGGGAGTGCCATCCTCGATCCTAACGGATCCATGTAACAAAGAGATGCCAGCACCAGGCTTGGAGGGAACTCGGGCGCTGATCAGCTGTCGTAGCTCCTTGCCACACAGTGGTTGGGACATGCACGTTGAAGCTTTCGCCTAGCAAAGTCTGAACCTGGAGATGCAACAGGTCTGAATACAGCGAAGGATTGGCCATGATGCCTGTGTGTGACGGTGTGTGTCATGAGTTGCAGGGAGCAAGCTTTCTTTTTTCCAAATGGATATATCATGATACATTTAGTCGCTCTCTTTCCTACCAAGGGAGATCAAAGTTGTTCCCTGAAACTCCGTCTTACGACTATCTCACACCGACTGCTTGTGGGTCAATCATTCGCAGCACTTCGGTGCATTCGCCTGGAGCCACAGTGAAGCGCTGTGTGTGAGCATCTGGAAGCACATCAGGCGTGTCGTGACAGAGCTCCAACTACATCTTTAGAAGGTAGTTGGACCGAGCAAGCCCACCCCAAACAACTCCTCACGAGGTACAGTTAGAGTTGGAGATTTCGACTCCTGCCATTGTTGTTTTCAATGCAATTTCACTGCCTGTTTCGCCCATGGGTTTCCCACACACCCACACAGTCTATCACTTGCCCACCAGTGGAACTGCCGCCTCAGAGCACTCATCATTGGTGCACTAGTTCAAAAACTGGATGTCTAAAGCACGAACGATTTACAAGTAAAATGTGCTGTTGTGGCTGTGGCCGGAAAGCCTAGTCCAGTAGCTCAGAGTTCCAACCCCACTGCTGAACAGAATTTGAATAATCTACCATGGGTAGTGGGATGTGGCCAGTGTTCTGATCTCACCAAGCACTGGCACGATGAGACCAGTTTGAGTGGCCCGCAGTGACCTGCATCAGTGAAATCCAGAAAACTGTACAACTTCCTGAGATGGATTTCCTGCCCGATGATCTACAGTGTGTCGGAGATTCCAGGTAGTTGCTGGTAACGCCTCCAGGCGCCTGTGCCTGATATGTAATAACCTCCAATCGTGTCCTTCTGTGAGCTACAGGTGTGTTGGGGTTCGGGGGGGGGGGGGGGGGGTGGGTTGGGGGGGGGGGCGTGGTTTCGTTCGGTTCGTCGATTCGTTCGTTTTCGTGCGTTTTCGTCCGTTCTCCTTCGTTTTCGTTTGATTACGGCCGGTTTCGTTCGGCTCATGCTTCAATCCGAAACTCTTTTGTGTTTGTCGTTCATTTTGTTGCTTCGTTTGTGTGAAAAGCAGCGTATGGCGGTTTTCCCGCTGAGCACTTTGGTGAAAGAATTGACCAATTGGGACCGTTTGAAAACCGACAGAGCAGACTATGGCTTTTTTAAGAGAGAATGTCACAGCTTTCATGCCATGTTGCTACAAAGAGAATTTACACCAAGACTGAGTCCAATCATTTCGTGGAAGGGAGTCCTTCTCTCTGAGCATTGTGTCTCATGCTTCAGATGATTGATCCCAATTTATCCTGATTGCTGATGGAAACACACTCTTATTACTCAGGTACTTGAAATAACAAAAACTAATGTCCAAATTGACGACCCCATTTTTACTCAATTTCTTGAAATGGTCCTCCTCAGGGGGTTTCAGGAGAGATGTAACACGCCACCCACAGGCGCCAGAAGGCGTCGTCACCCAGGTAGTTATGGTGAGTGTCTTCCATTGGTTACGAACCAGTCTCTTCCAACTGAGGACTGAATGAGTTCTTTTGAGGGAACGCATGACTTTCCCAACGAGTCCTGGATGGATGCATTGGTTCCGGTTTCCAAGTGTCCAGTCTGCTAGGAAGGTAGACGCTACATTGCTACATTGATGCCCTGCCTTTACTGTAAAAATCAAGGCAACATTCCAGGACATCTCATGGAATCACCATAAATCACCTAGTTGAGCAAATTCTTCTCCGTGCGTTCAACTCTGAGTTGAACCTGCTGAAGAAGCACACCACCCCATTCATTTAGCCCATCCAATGCCTTTCACCAGCCCTTCTGACTCCACCTGCGCTGGGGACAAGGTCTTCAATGCCATGGCTTCCAAGTTGTCACTGCCCGCATTCGCAGTGACACCCACCTGGCCCCAGGTCACGTCGGTCTACGCATGTATACAGTACCATGGGATGCATGGGGCGCATGTGTCTTGTGGTGGAGGATCTTCCCAGCCTCACATGCCAACGAGCCCTTCTTCATCTTCTTCTTGCTAAGCTCTTGAACTCATGCCAACACATGTTGTAAGTTGTCTCCTTTTCTTGCTTTGTTATACAAGCGAGTAGAAACAAACAAAATGCCAACTCTCACCACAACAAACCGTCTATACCCACTTCCGATCCGATTGTCCCCAATAATGTTGGATCCTGATTAGTAGAAAGGTCCTCTATGATGCTAAAGTTTCAACATGATTCTGAGCCCCATGTGTGTTTTAAGGGGCCTCTGTTATGCTATTTTGTTTTAGATCCTAATTCTTTTAAAAATCACTACCTGAAACATAATTAGGGTTTTAAATTATTCTGAGCCCGGTGCATACTACTAAGCCAATGATTGCCTTGCTGAGACTTGATATTTATAGATTTCTCTAGTTCTTCTTCAAAACTGCTGAACCTGAGAACCTTCTTAGTACTCTTCTTGGTAGTATAAAAGGATTGCTGAGAATGTCTACAAAGAATCTGAGAAACGAAAATGAAGATATAATTGCAATCTATAAAATGAAAAGAAAGGACAACTAATACTACAATCAATTGCAAAAGGAATTTTGCCAGGAATCCAGATTTGTTTTGGCGGTAGTTTATTATAGAGGACCTCCCATTTGTTTAGAGGAGTGGGGGATCCCCTATACAAATCAGGATCCAACATTTTGGCACGTCAGAGTTTGTCTATGGGATTGAGTGAACACCTAATAGTTCACATCAAAAGCTTTTGATCGAAGAAAGTGTTCAACAATTCCTAGGGCTCCAACTACCTCCCGAGGCTTTCGGAGTTTGCGGGGTGGGTGACCAACTGGCCAGTTCCCGCCTTCTGAATCCGTCGCGAACCACATTTTTAGAAAGGGTATGATTTGATCGAATTCCGGAGAGTAAAAACAATCACTGAGCTGAATGAGCTGAAATCCCGCCACTTATGCGAAGTCCAAAATCGATTACCTCCAACTGCAACCTCTTCAGCTGCCCAATACAGGTTCAAGGTCAACTGCTCCAACTGACCTCTCCGGAGAATATGACACGTATTTACAAAAAGAACAACATATTCAGAATATCAACACATATTAGAAACAAAAAGGGGAAGACAAGAAGCTACGCACCCCTTTCATAAGGCCCCTTTAAAGGCCTTCCTCTCTTTCTGACCTCCCTCCCTCTCCATCTCTGTGCAAGACACCTCAGAGACAGGGCCCCACTTGAGGCTTACAGCGCGGCGCTGATGGAAGCCTTCACGCCAGGCCGCCAAGCCATCCAAATAGCCTGAAAGAGGCTGGTGGTGGATCATCCTAGTGGAAGAACCATTCAAGGCTGGAAGGCTATTATTAGAGAAGTTTGGGAGGCCACAAGAGTCTCCAAAACTCTGAGTCGAAAGGGGCACCTGAGGCACCCGCTAAGGGCTCGAAATCGATTCCAAGGGCTAAGGACCGATGTTTTTCTGGGCTCCTTCTGTTTCTGGTGCACTCACCAAGAGGAAATGAAGAACATCTAATTGGTCTAAATCTTCAAACAGGGGTCTATGCTGATGTCTTATGAATATTCTTAGAAGGCTAAGAATCAAAAATACTTGAAACCAACAATGGGGATACATCTATCCAATGTTTATGGCCTTGTGGGGGTGCCTAGGGCTAGGTCAATTTGCTAAATCTGATTTTCCAGGTTCCAGGACTGTCAAACGTCAAGGTTGGAAAGTACACCTGAGATGCATCTTCACTTGGTTTAGTTTGTTTAACATGTTCAATGTATTACAAACAAACGAGTAGTGACTTTCTCTGGACCCTCATGAATGGCCAAATTAAGCTGGGGAGGTGCAACTGTCAGTTCCTGTGAGGGGATGAGGTGGATGGGCACGTGTCAGTAAACATGTGGGGATACCTTTAGCACCAAGGTATCGGAAGATGGCTGTCAAACACAAAACCTGTGACACGTTCTGAGACGAGACGCAGTTGGCCGCAGCATAGGAGGCTCCGCCAGCCAGGCCTGGAGACGTCTGTCGGCCGAACAGCACCCAAATGGAGTTCATTTTTGCTTGTTTGACTTTTATGCATCATAATAATCTATGTTATATACGTCCCTTTGATTAGACTCCAAACCTTTAATTTAACTTTTCTTTCTGTCTGTCTGTGCTTCTTTCATTCAAATATTGGGTTCTTGCCCATGATGGGAGTTCTTAAAACCGGCAGCCCTTCATTCTTCTTGCCCAAAGACCACTGGAATTTACACAATCAGCTGGACATACGACGTCTGCAAGGATGTTGAGTTTGGGGCGATGGGTTGGTAGGAATCGAAGAAGTGGATAGTTGTTGAACATGGATAATATCCACCAGCTCCAAACTGCTTGGCATCCCGTTTAAGTAGGCCTAAGTACAGTTAAGTGTATCCCAGTAGACACCTCACTACAGCCCAAAGACGAGAAGCACACTCGGACCATCCATGGTACCCTTGTCCCTGTGTCTTCCCCAAAGTCATGGCACAAGTATATGCCGTTGTAGGGGATTCACTGGATTTTGATATAAGTATATGTTTTCTGCAGTTCGTTTCGAAACATATCAGAGCCCCTTCCGAGGCCCGCGCCAATAGTGGCTGAGACCGAGCTAAAGAGCACGAAGAGTTCTAAGTCAGTGCCCAAGATCTGCAAGTGCCAAGCTCCGCTGGCTTTGGGGCCCAGCACCTGTCCCAGCTTGGGAAAATATGAACTTGTCAGGGGCGAAATGAACCGATAGATCCCCCAGGGTCCTCCAGCTGACAAATGATCAAGTGCATGATCTACTGCAAAGCCAAGGCTCTGAGGTTATATTGTGCAATCTTGTGCAGTCTGCGGCTGTGCAGCTTTCAATACTGCTTTTGCCCCCCCCCTCCAGTGTCCTGAAGTTCGTAAGATCTTCCCTTGATTGGAACCAATTGACGGCACAAAAAACGTCTCATTTCGCTGAAAACCAATGATTGAAGCGCTTCTCCCAACTGCTTCTCCGTTCCAATCTCATGAGTGTAGCCTTCTGCATGCGCCCAGCATCGAGCTCCGTTAGGGGGGGGCAACGGTCGAGAATGCCCGCTGCATGCACCACGCCTGGTGCCGGTCATATGCGGGTCAAAGTGGCTCCCAGAATAAACCTCTAAAAGTCGGAGACGCCGACTCACTGACCCGGCAAGTTTGCATCTTCAAAACCCGTCCAAGAAGTATATACATATGATATCATATGATCCTCAAACGAATCTAGAGGAGTGAGCCCTCTCTTTCAAACAATAGAAACATTAGACACTACTTCTACTTACAGGAATTATCGATTTATATACACCATTTGGAGATAACTGTCGGTTCTCAACTAGCAAAATGATCTTGTGCCACTCTTGGAGGCGGAGCTGAGGCAAGCAGGGGACGCTGCAGATTGAAACCATCTTTTTACCTTCAGTTGAACAAACCAATGAACCATAAACGTTGATGAAATCGAACCCTGAACTTTGGTCCAGTGCTCGGTTTTCCTCTTGTGCCCATTACACGTCATCCCTGGTCCCGCCTCGGACTGGATCGTTGGCTTCTTTTCCCTCCTGCAGGAGTTTTGCGACCTCGCTGGACTTGCTGCTGTCGCAGGCCTTGACCTGCACCGTCCTCGGTCAGAACGGGGGAGTACCAGGGAAATGCGTGGTGCAGGTGGTCAGTTGAAAGTCCAAATGGCTGCCAACTCGAGTGCTTAGTGTGATCTTTGCAGGTATGCTTCCTGAAGTAAGGATAATGAGGACTTGCTGGGGCAACTAAGTGGGAAACCACGTCGTTTGGGGGGGTGCAAGTCTTTCTTTGATACATCTTGATACACACACGTCTTTCTTGCTCGTTTCCGGTTCCTTGGTTTAATCCACCCTGAATGATCCGTTCGCAATTGCTCCAGACTCTATCCTTGGCAAATCCGCCAACTTATATCAGGTGCGTCGTATTGGCACACCGACTCCTTGCGGTTGATTGCGATATCACAAGCTCAAACCACTGGTGCTGGCCCATGCTCGTTGGGCAAATCACCCAGTCGGCTACTTTTACTGGGTACCGGATCCAAGCTTCGATCCTACCTTCGGACAGTCTATCCTGCCTCTGTGGTTCAGTTTAGGAATCCCCTGATTCTTTCCATTCAATATTCCACACTTTTTCCTCTATGAGGTTCTTGGAAGGTGGATGTACTGTCCAACCTATCCCTTGCAAACCTGACCGGGTGGCACTCCAGGAAGAAGCTGCAAGCGCCTCAGCTGTTCCTGCAGGCGTTTCTGACCTGCAGCGATTAGGAACTGGCGATGGGCAGCGCTTGCTGAGTACAGGAGACCCACCGCGAGCACAAGAAGTGAGAGAATGATGCGTTCTTCTCTCCTGACACACCAGCAGCTCCTATATCTTGGATACGCCAAGAACTACCACGTTAGTTCTATAGGGATTGAAATTATTATGGTGCATCAGAAATGATTGAAATTCCTAAAGCACATTCAAAACTTTCTCAAAACAACTAGGAACAAGAAGCTACTAGGAACAAGTGCATCGCTTCTAGTAACAAGTGCCTTACTAGTAGTAACAAGAAGCTATTAGTGCCTTAACTTGGTTTTTCACTCTGCCCCGAAACGCCCACACCACACCTTCGGCCACACGGCCGCTGCGAGAGGTCAGCAAAAGGCCTGCGACCATAGCTGCGCAAGGCAGGAGAGAAAACACATGACAATTGTTTGATTGATTGGATCTTGCCATGTCAAGCAGTGGCTTTGTGGGTACTTGCGGCACAAATGACGCATAATTACGTAAGTTTTGTCTGAAAAGAACTTGCAACCTACTTGGCTGGTGGATTCCGTGGTCGATTAAATCATCTCAAAACACGATTTGCGAGTCTGGGCAGTCAGCTGGAATGTGAGCTCTAATCCGGAGACCTTGGAGATAGAAACATTATGCCGCCACCTGAAAACACACGCTACATCACGCATTCCAACTGCTCCTGTGTTCTAAGTGCCCCTTTGACTGACTCCACGTTGGTGAATCAGGTATTGATTTATTGTTTAAGTTATATCATACCTATAGTTCTAGTTCTAATTGTCGGTCAAGTACTGTGGAGACGATTTGAAGTTGATTGTGATGAGTTTCCAAATTATCTTCAAATCCATCTTCGACAGCTAATTTGGCTGCTTGGGTCCCACTGTGTTACTATGTCCCGGAGCAAACAGCCTGGCGCGCCCAGCATCACCAGCTCCTCAGCTGCTACCAGGCCCAAGCCGCCCAGGCCACCGGTCACCAGCTGGACACCCTTCTTCACCTGGAAGGATTGGCAAAACCCAGTCACGGCATGTCACGGCTTACTTTGCAGGCACTCGGTCACTAGGTGAAGAGCCGGTCATAGTTCTTGAATGGTCACAGTGATTACTGGTCAAACGGTCAAGCAGTGGATCTTTGCTGTTGTGGTCTGAAAGCTTCACTCTTACACTGCAGTATAGCACGTTGGATACAATTAGTGAGCAGTTTCGGTACCCATCCCGCCTTCCACGTGGTGCCATTTGCTGAAGCTTCTACCCAGTGCCCAACCGCTCAATCAAGCTTGTTGGCTGGCTAGACCCTGCAATTTACGAATGAGTGGTAAAAAGAGACTCCCCTCTGTTCAGTGTGATTTTCAATGATTTCAGTGTGGTGTGGGTCTTCAGTTGTTTAGGATTAAGGTCCTGAAGACCCGTAGACACAACGTCGCTCTCACCCTGTTTCTTATCCAACCTGCGTTTGGTGGCAAATGCTTATCACTTATAGAGCTCATCCAGTTCAAGTCTTCGGCTAAAAGCAAACCCCCGCCTCAGCAGCTGAGCTGTTGGGCCCGTCCCGCATCGCATCCTGACGCTGCAGGTTGAGAGCCTCCTGCGGCGCCTCCACCACACGGGGCACCAAACGCCCGCGTTCTCTGCTCAGCTGGGCCTCGCAGGAGTCTGTCCACAGTATGACTTCACTTATATATTCTATATATAATTACGAATCTTAATTATATAAACGCATACTCACCACTAGTTTTTGGTCTTCGCAAGAAGGGACCTGCCTCCACGTCGCTCTCTGCGCCCGCGAGCTCAGCAAGGATAGCCTGGCAAAGGATGTGTGTCTGTCGTCTTTTTGGTTTCTTAGTTGAAGTCCTCTAGTCTAGCTTGGCTTCAGCACAAACAACACTCGCTCGGTTGCTCAACTCGCCTTGGCAGTGTCCTCGTCTGACAGAGACATGTGCACATCCAGTGCCTGCAATCAACGTCGAAACCCGGGTTTAGTTCCGCTATCCAGCCAGCAATGGAAAACCAACCGCGAGGCTGCCCTAAGCTCCATCTCAAGCGCGTTCAGCTGTTGTTTGTCGGAATTGGTATGAAATGAACAAACCTCTACAGTTCTACATTGGATGGGATATTCTGATATTCATCATCAGGAGGGTCTGCAGTGTACTTGGAACCTTGAGAACACTTTATATTACTAATCATTCAGCAATGCATTGTACTACAATCCTTAATCTTTCAAGTATAGTAGGTGGCTGACTGTCTTGGTTAAGGAACTTAGAATCATAGTGTTCCACGGGGCTGTGTTCCACTTCCATGTTTCTTTAGCAAAGGGCACACCCCAAAGCCAAAACTGCTTAAGCACCTGTCTTACCTGTTTAGAAGGATGAGCACTCCACAGTGGTTAGGAAGTCCCCCAGTCACAGGCTACGTGAAACAGTGGATTTTCAATCTGTGGGGCCGAGGATACTAACCACTTGTCAAAGTAGGGTGGTCATCATCCTGAAACCACTTGCTAATCATTCAAGTATATAGCGGATGCTAAGTGCACTGGCTCACAACTCAACAATCGTCTAACCAACCATTATCTGACCAATTCTCCCAAAAGGTGCTCTGCAGCCGCTCTTCCCAGGTTGGCCACTCCTCTCCAAGAACATCCCCTTGCCTTGATGACCACCCGTGGCATCTCCAGCCGAGCAGATCGCACCAAGCCCCACAGGGAGATCGAGGCATCGAAGTTCGCACGTGTCCTGTTCCCCAAAGATCATGGGACTTTTGAATTCTAAGTATTTTGTACATGGTGCAGGATGACAGTCCAAATGGGTGAATCCTGTGTTTAAATGAATGAATGTGTGAGTCGACATGGCTCATGAGGAATGAATTCACGATTCATCCTGTTCAAGGACATGTGACTGAACTGGTGAGTGACAGATTTGGGGCGGAACTAGTGGTGGCCAAAAGCACATCAAACGTAGACCCACTGAGGTTGCTGATTGTGACCGGCATATATTGGGTGGTGGGTTGGTATGTTTGAGTTAGATGGTCTCTCGAGCAAAAAAAACTTGCTGGGATCAAAACAGCACCTACCTAGGACCTAGGATAACCGGAGAGAAGGAACAAGTAAATACAATAGTTGGTGGTTGAGTGCTCGATTACAAAGCATCAATAAAACAAGAAAGGCATTCTGGAGGTGGGTTTTGGCACTTTTTGTTTAAGAGAACCATGCGTTGTAGCAGGTGTGAAAACAGGTTTTAACCCGCTTTAAATCTATGCAAGCCAATGTATCTTCACTAGCAAGCCGTTGTTCGGCATATAAATATATATATAGATGCTTGTCAAAACCAACACTCACAGGCATACAAACACTTAAACATTTGTAGGCGTCCATTTGCTGGTCATAGCCTTTCGTTTTCTCTACAAAATTCACTGCCCAGCCCCACAATTGATCTGAAAACAACGCAACTGCTGTGATCCAGAAACTGCCCCTTGGCGCACTGGTGTGTCTTCCAGGGCACGCGTCGAAGGCGCCCCTGGTGACCACCAGCAGTAGCTTGGTCTCGGGCGCCATGGCCGCTGCTTGGAGGAATTTCAAGAGGTCTTCCAAAGCCTCCGGAGAGAATGTGGAAGGATGGGATAATCAGTTCTCAGATCCTCAATTGGGGGCGCTGGTTTCTTGTGTTTCTCGTCCATGGAACTACTGTACAAGCTTTAAACATGCGAATGTGTGTCGAACACTTTTTCAATCACAGAAATGCAAAGTATCCAAAACGTAGACCTTTTTTCTTCATGTTTGGGACACGCATGAGGTTACAGGGTGACCGCTGTAAGCTTTGGGAGAAGTTAGTGACAAGTCTTCAGACAAGTTGGCCCCTTCGAAATAGCTGGTTCATGAAATGTCCTTGCCAACATGTACACAAGCCAATTCTTTAGATAACCACGTGTTGAACTCACGAAACAACAAGTGGTTGAAGAGCCTCAAAAAGCGCTGTGCCTGGTGTGCCCTTGTCCGTTCGATCCATGGACGCCCTCCCACCTTCGTGGACGGCTCTCCTTGGGAGACTTCAATGGGAGCGTAGAAGACCGCGCAGCTCTTCATGGCCTGTGAGTTGAACGGCGGATGAACCCTCCCGCACAGAATGATGAGTGAAGGAAACACCTGTATAACTGTATAATCCTGTCCCTATCTGTGCCTTGTTTTTTGCTTCAGGGTGGTTTGTTGTTGTGAATCTATCATAATCATTCATAATCTATCCAACACACATAAAAACAGGAAGAGGCCCAAGTGGCGGAGGGACGTGCTTTATTCCGAGTACCCATTTGAAACCTCTACCCCACAAAAGAAATCATTTCGAAGACCCCGGGATACAGTTTGTATTTGTTTTTGAGTTACCACCTTCGTAAGCCACTACAAACTACAAACATAGGTATATTTGGGGTTATGTACCCACCCACTACAATTACCACCAATCATGCCCCTCACTAGCGCCACACCGCATTTACACACGCATGTCCACCTTTCCCCAATGGCACAAAGCCATGCAAACGTACATTCCTCCGAGGCCGCGCAAAACCGCATGGCACGGCGACATCACCTGTCGACATCTTTCGTTGTTAGTCTGATGAAACGTTTACAAGCGAAGAATATCGAAGAATGACTATTTTTGCTTTTAATGGTAAAGGGAAAAGGAACACCCCTTCGATCTGGAGCTCTCTTTTCTTTTTTCGATCGAGTTAAACAATTATAAATACATGCAACTTTCGTAGGCAACTGTACAGTTTTAAAGCTCTTCCCAGGTTTCCATCTTTGCGGGTCCTCCTATTTTGGGAACCCCCTATTACCAAACACGACACCAAAACTTTATTGATTGCGGGGGACCGGTGTTTTTTAATTAGGAGGAATTGATTTTTGAGGAGACCATGCTCCACACCTTCCATGCTTCTTGGACGGAGGACTTACAGGAGATCTGCCATGATATTACAGATGCACTCAACAAACATCACGTTTCAGGTGCCTTGGTTCATCAGTTTCAAGATTCACACCAAATCCAGTCCGAAAACCAATGGAACCACTGGGCACAGTGGCACCGTTTTCTGCTGATCCATAGATCTAAAAGTTTGCACAGTTTGGAGATATATACTGGTATTGACAGTCAAGTCAAGCCCTCCTTGAATTGTCTTGTCCAATACCAGGTGACAGAATCGGTGACCGTGATTTGTGGCCTCGGCCATCTTCGCAGGCTCTGTTCCCGGTTGCAGCGCCACCTGGGAACCGACAGAGCCAACCGAAGGCGCAGTGGAGATCCGGTGGACGTGCTCGTGTGCTTTGCACTGGCTGGGTCCATCTCGGTTTCGCTGGATGATGAGATTGGAACAAACAATAACAATATACAATAACAATTCAATAGCATAAACATGGTGCCAGGTGCCAGACTTGGAATCTATTTGGGAATGCTCAGGAAACGCAAGATGTCTTGGCAGCCGTGGAAGCAAACAAAGGTTCACACCGGTGCCCGGTTTACTCTGTATTCCAGCGATGTATCTACTCTTTTTTGCTCCTGCGGCGTTCGCACATTTGAATAAAGGTACCCTCCAACTCACTACCATGGAATTGGAAGGTGGACCCTGGGACGTCGGAGTTATCCACTTTCAGGTCCATATTAGTGTGGGAGTGCAGAACATAATACATCATGAACACACATAAATTTCTGCCACGCCAACTGGTTGATTGGCAAAGCCCAGATGGTATAGTATCACAGAAAATTGCTCACATCGTCTAAAGACTCACACACGAAGAAGACCCAAGAGTTTCACGCCGTACTGTAGTCATCTGCAGTTGTCTGTGGGTTGTTTTGCAGTGGTTCTCGATGCCCAATCCCACGGACAGCTGTTCCTTTAAGGTATGCGCCCAGTCACAAAGAGGCAAACACCTACATCCTAGTAGTAATGCCCTTTGTTACCAGTAGCTTCTTGTTACTAGTAGCGTCCTTGCTCCTAGTAGTAAGGCCAGGAGTCAGAAGCCCCTAGTAGCTTCTTGCTCCTGGTAGCGATGCCCTTTGCTCCTAGTAGCTTCTTGTTACTAGTAAGATCATCGAATTTCTTTGACTCCATCACCTGAGACCATTGTGCAATACCCATTCTGGCCCTTGCGCGCTGGTCTTCTCGTCGGACCTCCGCTGATGCCGCGCTGCCAAGGTACACCCTTGGGAAGTGCCCTCACAAGAGCATCCGACAAGCCCTGCTCCGCCAAGACGGAGGTGCCTTCCATCACCGAGGTGGTCTGGACCACATCTGCTGGCACCCAGTCCTGATCAGAATCCATCGCCCCATTTGTTCCGGACGAAATAGAAGGGAAGGAAAGGAGGGAAGAGCCGGGAGCTGGGATGCCCTTTAGTTTGCCTGGGATTGGAATTCCCTCTCAAGTTCTATCCCCGAGGTAGCTTCCAGGATGACAATGCCTACCCAACAATGTTCATTCATATCCAATCATAGCATTTCTTAAATGGAAGATATTTGACAGCATTGGAGCATTCGTGGTGTAATTACAAAAGGTGAGCCTGCTGCCGTTCTAAACTTGGCAGCAAACTAAATACCCCAGGAACAACATGTTCGCCTTACCGAACATTGTCAACCTATTGGTGTTCCGTTTCCAAACAAACATAAACAAACCAATCCTTCTACCAAACCACTGCATTACTAGTGGAGTCCACCGTCCTGCCTGGACCAATTATATAATCTTCGGCGTGATACTCTCAGTCAAAGAAGCAAACCCATGAAAATGCCTGGACAACGGTACTAGTTGCGTTATAGACTCAGCCACCAAAAAAACCTCACTGGTAGAGGAAAACGCACTTCCCATCACCCTTAAGTTTGGTTAAGGGTGAACACTTCTTCATGGAACGAAGAGACCGTGCAAACATCTAGAAACACCAGTCACTTGTATTGTTCACGGAAAAGACTGCCTTGCAGTCCACGAAGTCAGCAAAGACAAGAGTCTTCCAAGTAAAGCACTGTTTGCATCCATTCTCGCCATGGCTTCAGCACCTGCGTGTGCTGTTGGAAAGGAGGTTTGAGCATGCCTTGTAGAAAAATCTCTACCTCCACTCAATACACTCCAGTAGATACCGCTCACTCATATCCTTGCCAACGAAAGGTGATTTCAATCTTCAATCCATCGGCTTCAACGTTCCAATCAGTTCATGCAAATCATCGGATTCACAACGGACATGTTATATTGTCAAATTATTCTAGAACATTATAGGCCACAAATTCAGAGCTTGACCAACACTCACAGCTCCTCCTTTCCCACCATTTCCCACCCATTCTGCCAGCCCACCCACCCACCCACCCACGCTCTGCGCCTTGCGGGCAAACTTCATGGGCGCCCGCTGTGCTGGCTCCTCGGTGGCCAAGGTAGCTTCCATGAGGCCATGACCGTTGGTGCCGGAGAAGCCGAAGGAAGACACCTCGGCACAGAGCACCGTTGTGCGTTAAGCGCTTTGGGAGGGTGGCGGATGTGAACCTGTAGCTGTGGGAGTGGAAACCAACTCCAAACAGTGTCATTTTGATCACAAGACATGGGACATCATATTCAATCAAAGCAAAAAGAAGGTCGATGTTGTCTCAGATGGTCCAAATGGTTCCCAAGTCCCGGACATTGGTTCAATCCTGACTGATCTCAGGGTGTGCTTGATTTCCTCCACTAAGTTGGCTCCAGGAAGACCCATGCTCAAATACTGTTGGATCGATGCTCAAATACTGCTTGCCGTGAAGCTCCTGTATCTGTTCGGTGTAAATTGTGTTTTGACTCCGGCTTCCCTCGAAAAGGATTTTGGCCGCGTGAAGTTGAACCATTGATTCAAAAGCTGGTGACGAAAACACATCCAAATGCGCTTTAGAGCCGCCCAATCTGCTGGAAGATCAAGCAGAAAAGCAAATATACATGCAATTGCCTATATGAAGCATATAGAAACGATGTCCAAAATGTGCTCCACTCTAGTTTCTATCGGGTCACTATAACTCCACATACATGAACCTGTGGACACATGCCGTCCATCAACTATAGTAGGCAAAGGAGCATAGCAAAAAACTAATTGATGGGTTTGCTACACATGGTCACTTTATGCCCCACCTGGTTTAGCTTGACGCCATGTCACGCCAGAGCGAAGGCTTGCGCTCTTCCACTCCACCAGCTTGTCTGGCCTGACTCGCTAGGCCGGATCGAGAACAATTATATACCGTACTTCAAAGGGGAATCAACATCAAGATGAGAGAGGGAGCTGTACCAGTGTTCTGTTTCCAGAGTGGCTATCTGGTGATTCTGCCCCATCAAATTAGTTCTTTCCCATGCTTTGTTCATGGAATGCACTTGTCATTTTGTCATTTCTATCTATATATGTATAGTGATTAGGTAAAAACAAACACAATATCATCTCACCAATCCAACAAATCCAGACATACAAATACTCTAACATACTCCAACCATCAGGTTTGACCATCGAAAGACTTTCATGGAGGGTGGTAAAGACTAAGATGCACTAAGACCATCCATTCACTGCCAATCTGATCGACATTGCCAAGAAGCATCAAGACCTGGAAGCCCGACCTTCGGTTGCGGGTTGGGAGCGGCTTCAATCATTCCAATGGCGTCCAACAAGGGACAACGGGTGATTCTGGCTATGCGGCTACGCCCCAAAAGCTATGAGACCGGCGGTGCTTTCGGCTGGCCCAAAGTCCTGGTCAACAATACAAACGCGTCCAGGTTTAGCCGGGCTTGATGATTGGAGAATCAAAAGACTGGTTGTACAGTAATATAATATAGTTGAACTGTTACGGTATCCTGAGTTTGGTGCTTTGCGCTCTGTGCTCTGGGGAAGCAGAATGAACAAGAACAACAGCATGTGGACACCAATGGTACAATCCAGACCTTTGGCTCAACCTGGAAAAGCCGTCCAAACATGTCCAAACCAATGACTTTGACGCAACGTCCCAACAAACGCAGCTGGTCTCAAACCTTGCAAATATTTTGCTATTTGTATTTGCTGAAAGGCCTCAGTGGCAATCTTCAACCCCCCGCCCTCCAAAATTTCAAAGGCAACTCTTTCAAACGCGCTCATCTCGCCAGGAGGCAGGTCGATGTTGGGATTCAAGGTCTCCAAATGCAAATTCGGGGTGATTTGTGCCTGAAGATGGACGGGAAGGAAAAGATGCGGATGGCTCCGGACGACAGAGGAAACACGAAATGTTGACATGTTCATGTCTAATTTTGCTAACAAACAATGGTCACAAAGGTGCAAGTAGGACTTTAGCACACTTCGGCAATGAACGAAAATGCGTTCTCTCAACAAGACCTGCTAATAAATTTGGGCCCTGATCAACACCAAGCCTGGGTATGATCCGTAATTATCCAACGAAGAAGTGATTTGCACCTAGTCACACCAAGCTTGGCCACTGATAGTCGACAATATTGACCAAGTGATTTCTACATTGGCATACCAGCTGACCATAGCAAGGCGGGGCTGCTTTTGCGCCTTGGTAATTGCCAAAATGACCTTCGAAATGCCCGCCACGCCGGCAGAGCCTGCAGGGAATCGTCTCAGTTGACAGGCGGGGAAGTAACACTGGGCTGCGATCAATTAAAACAAACAACAACAATCTTCTTTTGAGTTACTATATAATAGGAACGGCCTCGAACCTAATAGCGATGGCCTCCAACCTACTATGGATACATGATATATGTTGATGAGTATGAATGGTATAATTCAAGCAGTAGTGAATCATGGTAAATGGTCATCTAGAGGCTTTATCAATGATGATAATGATTGTGTACCTGCAGTGCTATGGCAAAATTCGAGTCGGTAGGTTGGTTGGTGTCCGTGCTTGGTTTTGCAAACATGACTCTTTTAAAAAGAAAGATATCGAACATCACTTCCTTTTTTTTTTATCATTGTTTTGCTTATCAAAATACATATATATATATATAATATATATATCTTTATACATCGGTGTTTGCTGGTGGAGTCTCTGCCGGGGTCCCTGGACAAATCCATATCGCTCAGGGAGGCCCATGTCAATACAACAAATAACGAGGCAACTCATCAAGTTTCAAGTTCAGGTGGTGCGAAACCTTCTTGCTCCCAAGATGATCATGGATTCTTGGACACCCTCAAATTATTCAATCAATGCCTCTGTTGGTCAACACTACTGACTGAACTGACCCGACTTTTGGAGGTGAACAGGATGGACACAGCTCGCCTACATCCATCCCCTCAAGAATTGCGCAACGCCTTTCAAAACACCCCCCCCCCAAAAAAAAAGAAGGCGTGTGGACAGTAGACACCCAGGCACACGCGAATGGCGTCTACTGGTGAACTGGGCCGTTCAAAAATGAAGCCTGCACCGGGCAACGCCGCGCCTTCCAAGTGTCCGATGTTGCTTTTTGTGGCTGCCAGGATCAATGGCTGAGCCTCGCTACGGCCTGCGTTTTTCAGCTTTGATCCAAAAGAGGGAGGCAACCCAAGCCAAAGCAAACGTTTCGGTGTGTGATATGTCATGCACATGTTTACATGCAAAAGAAGAACAAACTCTTCGGAATGCTGTAGATTCAGAAACACCAACCCAAATGGCGGGCCTTTGCCATAGACGGCTCGTTGAGCGCCCACTTCAATAGGATCTCCCAAAGCAGTGCCTGCAAGTGAAGAATCGTCAAGCACATAGAGAACGAAGGAAATGGGATTGAATCCTACTGGATGTGGATTGTGGGATGAACATCGCTGGAACGCCTATTTGGGGATTGGTGTACTTAAACCACATTCAAAAGAATCAAGGCACTTTTCAAACACTTTGAAAACAGAACTTGGCCAACCCCAAGAAGCCTCTTATAATATATCACTCTGGCCACTAAAAAGCCCTCTGAAAGGAGAAATGGGAGTGGCACTGGGCTCCCATTGCGGACGTCCCATATGTCTGTTGGGGCCCATTGTCTTGAAAGAAAAGCCCAAAGGTGCACAATTCACCATGCTTTCAACTTCCAGTACAGTATCTCTTAGATTCTTTTAGACATCAAAGTTCCCCTCTTCCCACCCAACATGTTTAAGAATAAGACCTTACTTAAGCTTCCAAACAAAGAAAAAACAACCGGATCACGTCTGTGCTTCTTGACCCTCTAAAACTCTCACCCTGGAATAACCAAAAGAAATAGGTCTAATCAGTCATGACTTTTCCGTGAACACTCTTTTGACGATTCACCATCAATAAGCTTGACAACACCCAGCAGGCGGTGCAAGCACCTGTTCCATGGCACTCGATCATCGTCACATCTTCCCCGGCGGTCTGTCGCTCCGCCAGCGCGCTGCGAAGCACGCGCTGCTGCGCTGTGCCGTTGGGCGCGGTGATGGTGGCTGCACGGCCGTCGTGGTTGATGGCCACACCCGTGAGGGAGACCTTGAGGTGAGAGGTATCAGGTGGTTGAGAAAGAATACACCTGGACCTTCCACCGGTACATGTATTCTGCCGTTTGGCGAAACAAGATGTTTGTTCGCCGTCAAGAAGGCTGTTCATGTCAAGAGTGCCTCTTTGATGTTTTACAGAGGTTGATTAAATTCGCGGTAGACAAAAGTCGCCATTTCAAAACCTTGACTTAGCATGGAAATAGAAAACAGTTCAATGCAAAAAGTGCTTCAAGACCAAATGGTTGGTGTTTGCTTGAAAAAGATTGAAAAAACAGGTCTGATTGAACAGGCATATAATATAATATAATAGCATAGCTATGAAGACCCAGGTATAGGATGGTATAGGAGCCCCCAAACCTCCCGCCCCCCCAACATTTGATGTCAAAACAGTTGCAGTACAGTGCTGTTGACAGAGACAATTGTGTTATGCCACCTCGCTTAGCTGGTGATCGGTGCCAATAAACTGTTTGGGCCCGGGCCTGACAAAACATTTGAACACTACTTTTGAAGGCGGGGATGAACTGGATGCTTGAAGGTATAGACAAACTTGTCAATTCCACAGTCTCTCCAAGCCACCAGCTCATTCTCTCCCGTGCCAGTGCCACGGGTGATCCACACCGAGCCAATGCCTTCGCCACGCGCGAAGCCATCCGCCGACTGGTCAAAGGTCTTACAGCGTCCGTCGAAGGCCAGGCCACGCATCTTGGAGAAACCGACCTCAGCTGGAGCTGTCCCCTGATCCCATCGAAAAGCAGCTTTTCTAAGTAGCTTCTTGTTCCATCTTGTTCCTAGTAGTAATGCCAGGAGCTACTAGTAGTAATGCCCTTTGTCTCTAGCAGCTTCTTGTGTCCTTAAATCCAACAATTGACAATTGGTTTAGCCTTTGTTGGCCTGATAGTATATACCTTATGAATTATATACCAAAGGGGCTAAGGGTCTAGGTATATACACTTGAGGGCGGTGAAAAGAAACACACACCCAGCCGTCAATGCAACCCTGGCACCCCTCAGCTTGCAGCAGTGATGATCCCTAACAGCGGTCGCGAGATGCTTGGGCCTATCTGGCATATCTAACTGGATGCTCTAGCGCCTGGCTTCCCCTGCTTTTGAGAATCTCCAAGTGGCCCAAATGCACCCAGAGAGCTGCACGTTCGCGCCGGTGGCAATCGCACTCTGACACCTTCGCCAACATGGGTTGCACTGGGAGGGTTGGGAAACTTGGCAACTGAGCCTGCGGACACTCAAACTTTTTCTGCCGAGATCTGAGTACTGAGTACCTCTCTTTGGGTGTTGTTGTTTGAATGCGTCTTGGCATGTCTCGGCGCTGAATTGACATTATAGTTACTATGATCTGTATTGTCTATGGTTCCAGCAACCACTTGTGATCGAAACCAGCAAGTGAGTGGACTATGGAAACATTAGAACTCGCTCCCAAAAGCACCCTGTCTCATACCTGGGCCTTACTCAAGGCGTTGTACACGAACCAGCTGGGCGCCCCGGTAGCCAGGAAAGCGACCGGAGAAGGGATACGCTTGCAGGTCGCAGGTGTCTAAGCACAATTTGCAAGAAAAGAGGTCTTTTCCTACCCAAAGAAAAGTTTCTGGAAATGATCGGCAAGTCTTATTCTTGCTTGTATCCCTTTGATTTCCGGTCTATGACCTCACTTCATGCTCTTTGCCTCGCGTTCGGCGAAACGGAGTCGGAGGCCTGTTGAGCTTGACAGCTTGAGAGCCTGGGTGTGCCAAGGCAGCGCTTGTTTACGCTTGCGTTGTCCAAAGAGGTGTGTCAAACCGCGTGGAGCTGGGATATGCTCTGTGAGCCATGCCGCCTATTGAAACATGATATATTTTGTTGACCAGTATGACATGTAAACAATCTGAGCTAAACATGTTCTTTAACCCTTATCTGCCAACATGACCGATGTCAAAGGATCTCCTTTACTACAAATGTTGCTACAAGGGGAACCGCGGCACTCACATAAACTCACTATTGTACTACTACATGCTACCCCGAGTTTGTAATCGTGTACTCCTGTGGCTCCTCTGCTTCTCATAACGATCAAAGCCTGGGTCCAAATTCACAGCTCCAGACTTGCAAGGTTCCAGGAGAACAGCTGCGATCAGGGCCTGGTTCACAAACCCCTTAAGCTTCCACCTACTTGGGGAAACAAGAAAATAGATACTCTGCTTTTGTGAGATCAATCCCAAGTCCTCTGTTTTCCCTGCGCTCAAGTGACTCCAGCCAAGCACTCCTGACAGTTTGTTGCCTAGTTGATAATATCTATCTACCTATATATATATATATAGCCCGAGTATGCGTAAATGTCAGTATCCTTCTACAGTATCAGTTAGCTAAATACATCTATCCCACCCAAGAAGATCACCCAACTGCACGGGTTTGACTACAACACCAGTCTAGTCTAGTCCCTTTCTGTTCGCTCCCACTTGACCCTCGGCCGTGCCGGGTGGCTGGAATCCAAGGCCACGATGGTGGAGGAACAGGCGGTGTCCACCGTAAAGCAGGGACCCCGGAGCGAGAAAACGTGCGAGATGCGGCCTGGCCGGGGGCGCGCAGTGTGCAGCCTAAACAATCCATGCTCGCCCTCCATTGTCAAATCACATGTCTATGAGTCTATCTGGTTGTGAGTAGTGCTCACTGGTCGCATGACTAGTTCCGGATAAAACAACTGGAATTCAACAAACAAGTCTTCCGTTACGATGGGCACCTCCCAAAAACCAAAGTCGAGACCCAAAGCAAATCAGCATGCTGGATCTCAGCATGGATCCAACCATTGGACCGTCCACACACACACACACCCAGGACATTTCCCTTCGCCTATAGGTATAGTATAGTATGTAGATCCCCAGGGCAACCTTCCACACTCACTCAACTTCCATTTGCCTGGCCATCACTTCGCACCTGAGAGCCCTGAATAGGCGAAGCCAATGTTGGAGAAAGGCCCAAGCCTCAAATTCAACTGTTCTCGACTTGCTCCAATTGACCGAAAACACTTTTTTGCACTGAACCTTACTTAATTGAGCAGGCGCCTACTTAATTACATAAGGGCTAAACAAACTACTAGGTAGATCTAGGTTGGTCAACGGTGGAGGAGGAGCGCGGATTCGGAAACTAGAACGGGTCTGAATCGGATATTCTGAATCGGGTCTGTGAAATACGGATATGTCCACGCTACATCAACAGAAACATTTCATTAGATCCCCCCACCCCCAGTTTCTGAATCGGATAGTTTCTGAATCGGCCAGTTTCTGATGAATCGGCAGTTTCTGAATCGGCCAGTTTCTGAATCGAGGGAGTTTTTGAATCGGGACACTCTGTAGTTTCAGAATCGCAAGTTTCTGAATCGTAGTTTCTGAATCGGAGCTAGTTTCTGGATCGTCTTCTGTTCCTACTAGGTCACCTACTACTAGCTAGGACGCAGGATAGCTCACGCACTATTCATTTGGTTCCTAGAGTCCTAGTCATTTCCATTGATGCAAAGAACGTCAATGAGGACCTTTTCCGATTGGAACAGCGTTGCGGTGCTACCTGTGCAGCCTTTTCTTCTGAGAAAACGACCCTAATTACCCTGACACGGTCACTAAAAGTGTCTTGAAGTCATGGATTTTTCATGGTGACCGAGCTTAACGCCTGTAGGAGCCGCTATGGATCCTGTAATTAGTTGGACCCTGAAGAGTCCAAGATTATTCCAAGTCCATTAGCCCTGAAACAACCGTCTTTCTAGATGAAGACCTTGCTTGGGTTCTTCTTGGTCACAAACACTAGAACCCCTCAAACAAGGTAACTACTCGCTAGGCATTGCGTCAAAAATCCTCCGTGCAGCTTGGTGACCCTTCGGGGTCCACATCGTTTCCACCCAGGTTACAGCAGCCCACGAAAACACCACAGTCCAGGCCCTGCAAGGACTCCTGTCAGAAGATTGTTGGAGGGGATCGACCTGGAAATTCAAGTCGCACACACACACACACCAAAACATAAGGTGGTTCCCAAAACCTGGGACCATAAGTGTTCAACGATGTACACATTCAACCAATCGAAAATGACACAACATACCCTGGTGGTGGTCATCCAACTTGAAGTATTAGAGGTCACCGCAAAACAACATGGGTCATTTGAGTGAACAAAGGTACAGAACTAATGTATACATCTCCAATCAATAGACTACTGACTTGCTATCCATCACATTTTTTGGGCTGGGGTCTGCGTTGCATGCCCTCGGACCAGGGGTTATTCTGTGGCTCAGAAAGAAGACTGAAGGACCCGCAGGTTTCAGTCTATGTCTTTTTTTGGTCAGTGGGTTTGGATGGCACACTATGTCTAAACCATAGCCATAGCATGCCATAGCCATTTGGCCATGGCTTACAACTCACAACGCTTCACAAACTCGGTGAACCCCTAAGGCCAACGAAAGAGGTCGGGGCATGTGTACTCACTCAGTTTTGACTCACCTCTAAAATATTGCATCCTGAGGCCACCGTGGTATGCACTGCACAGCTAGACAAGAAACAACACCACAACATAGAATTGGTTACCTGTAAGTTCTTGGTGATCTTGGTCGGGATTCATCAGGGACCTTATACTGTACAAGGTCATGATAGGGCGTGGGCTGGTAACACAGTACTTCTTTGAGGCAGTTAAGCCACTGGAAGTGGTATCTTGGCAACTACCTCCCTGACTCTTGCTCATTTGGAAAGCCCAAACAACAGCACAACTGGTGCTCCTTGTCCATGCCGCCTGCATGGAACGCCTCGTAACCTCGGCCGAGTGTGGAGCGAGTTGTGTGGGTGATTCAAGAGGGATCTGGGAGTATGAGCGATCCACATGATGATCACTTCAAGTTGTCAGATCTGGGCAGAAGATCAATGAACGCGCCTCCACTTTCATTCCAAACTCAAGGCTTGAGTATAGCAACTCGAAATGTTGAATGCTGAGATGCTTTGAGAATCTCAGGACTTTGGGATATTGAAGAAGACTCACAGGACTGGAAACAACATTCTCTCTCAAATGGAAGATACTCATTGACCTCCCTGGTACAGCAATGCTGCATTTGCACAGGGCGGCTAGTGGCCACGTGGTTGCCCACCACAGTAGTGCACCATTCACTGAAATCCTCCAACCGTCATCCTGGATGTTCTTCGACCCAAATTGGAAACACAGCTCAGCTTTCTGCTCACACGGCATACATGTGAAGATCTACCCCGCTGGATCCAACTACAACCTCCAAACACCACCATTTCTTGGAGAAATTGGACACCAACAAATATGGTCCTATGGTCATCTGTCAAACCACAAGATCTACCCAGAAATCCATTTCCCACACCTGACCCACTCACTTTGGAGAGATTGATCTACCCCGTCTCTGAGGTTCACACTGATCTCCAGTGCCAACCACCTCAGGCGCATCGTTTTTGAATGTTTTCTGCAGAACAAGAGCATCTTTGAGCGGAAACCAAATGGATGCGGCTGAAATAATCAGACCCAGAACCAACAAAACTGACAGTATCCACCAAAGCAACTGATGTAGAATGGTAGAATCAGGATTTCACTCTTCCCCAAAAAAAACAACACACGAGGATTGTGGTGAGTAGCTCAGGAAGCTGAGGATCACACACACAGCGTCCATAGCCGGTTGACCATGCACCATGTCTCTGTGTATGCCACACGGCATGCACAAAAGTCCCACCCCTCCAAAAATAGATATAGTTATATATATCATATAACTATACTATATATAGGCATTGGTGAAAAACAACACTACTAGCCGTCCCAAGTGGCCCACCACTCCCCACAGCCACGGCACTGGTGAGGATCCATCGCCCGCAGCTCTGCCTCGGACACTCCGAAGAAGTCTCCGTCGAAGTGCTCGATGCCTGGAAGGTACAAAGTTTTTTTTTTGGCGTTTTGGAAAGGTGCAGGAGGCAACAAGTGTTTTGAGATGTTTTGAGCCGGTTCTTCTTGAAGACAAAACCCGTAAGACGGGATATATCATTCATTCGTATTCCTGCAATTCCACACACCATATCGTTTTCAAAGCACGACTTTTCCATACCATGGGATGTTCGGGAAAGCACGACCATGCTATTCATTTGACTCATAGCTCGAGATGGTGTGTAGGAGTACGAGGTCTGATGAATTCCTGGGACGAGCAAAATCCTCGTTGCCTCGTCTGCGGACTGAATACCATAGCAACCTCGCGCCTGGAATGAAGTGGCCAAGGCGGACATAGGTCTTGCCTGCCAAGGAGTGAATGGCAAGGGGTTTTGTTCCGAAGGGTAAGCAGCTGTTGCTCACTGCGACTTCTATGTGGATGGGACAAACAGTATACAGGTTATTGGCATAAAAGGGCCCTTTTGTAGAGAAAGCTGGTCTTGAACAGGTCCATTTTCCCCGTCTATGCTAATGACCAGTAGTACCAACCGATTCCTTCTCCAATGGCTCTAACACTTCAAACTTGTTGGTGGACTCTGACAAAGCACCAAGTGTGGCCTGGCGCGTCGACATCTGCATCGTAGTAGGCGTCCATGTCCCAGCGCTCTGGAGGCAACTCGGTGGTCGTGTCCTCAGTTGTAGCATGTCCTAGTTCTCGACAGGCGGCATATCCCCCTTTGTATCACGGCACCCAAACTAAAGCATCGCGGTTTTCACCCTAGCAAAACCAGGCTCGTAGGTGGTGAACACCTTTGTGGTGAAAGGATTGGCACTTTGCCGGAGCCTGTGACTGGAGTGCAATCCAAACATGAATAGTGATACAATAAACAATGATATTGTCTGTGTGCTTTTGTCCACCCAAACACGGCTTTTTATTGTCTTGATGGCATCGCTCACACAGAACCTACACATACACCGCCTTCTTCATAAGATGGAGGGATTGATCTACCTTTCTGTAGGGGTCGCTGACTCCACCAATGCAGCAATCTATGGGAAAATGCTACCAGTAAAAGATTCAACCTCGCTTTGTTCACCGGTGTTCACAACAAATGTTGATGTTGAATCTTGAATCCAACTCTCCAAAGCATTCAATTTCAGGATGTTCCAAGACAACAAAAGCATCTAACATCATCTATATCTCAGAGTCCTACATGTTTTTGCCCAAGCCCACCAAGCTTTTCTCTACTTCCTCGCTTGTGCCCTTTCTGCCCACTAGGCTACCCTGCCAATCCCATGCTCATGTTGTGCCAGTATTCCTTCACCTCAGCCAGTTGTTGAGCGGCGAAACAGAAATACGGAGTGTCTCAAAAAGAAAGGAAAGCATCCTGGCAGTGTAAGATTCCTAGAAGTGAACATAGATGCTTCACCTGGTGGTTTTGGGGGGCAAGCAAAACTATACAGCATCTATGTAGGAGGAAAGCCACAGCTCTTGATTGCATTGGAATCCTCTATATACCAATTGGCGGCTTGAAATTGCTTTTTTGCGGCTCGGTCCAAAAAAATGTCCACCTGGAGGGTGGGATGAGCATGGAACATGTTGGGACCATGGCAATAATTGAATGTCCCTAGTGATAGCCAAGTCTGGACCCCCTTGTCGCACTCCTGCAGCGGTAGTTCCAAATACCAAACGTAGACGTAGATCACCATCCGCTCCCAGCCCAAGCAACAAGCAAAGGTTTGATCCTTGGCTTTTCCCAATGCCCAATCCAAGAGTGCGCCGGGGCACGTTGTTGGTAAAGCATCCTGGATATCTTCCCGCGTGACTGGCCTCGGAGCGGTTGTTTCACGTGTGACGTCCCGTCAGAAGTCATGCAATGAGTGAGATTCATCCAGGCAAAGTATGAGAGTCTTGAGGTCGTACCATATGGATTGATCAAGTAACCCAGGATGAGATTTTCTAGTCTTGACCGCTTCCAGTGTCCATCCCATGCCACAAGGCCAAGTGGATCCTGCTGGTGTGGCCGCAGGGTACTCTTGCTGGCGTTGACGTTTTCATGACAGATGCGGGGAGACTGCAATTCGTTCACTTGTTCGACGTGGGTGCCTCAAAGAGTCTTTCGCGGCGGGATCTTTCACTTGCTTTGGTGCAATAATTCGATGCATCCTATTTGAGTAGCTTTTCACCAGGCTCCAGCCAAAAGATCTCCAGAGTGGGTCTGGCTGCGAGACTCATCTTAAGAGCTTCAAGCGCAGCGAGACATTCCCCACCCCAGGTAATTATATATATATATAGTCTAGGATTTCCTGAGCCTTCAACAGCAGTTCCCCTGCCTCCTCCAAGGCACGATGGCCAACATGGCGCCAGCGTCCATGACAACGCCCGCGCCCGCTGCGCCGACCTCGTCTTCTGCTGGGCCGACCTGGCTATCAGAGCTATATACAGAAATCTCATCTCCAATGACCAAGCGCATTAAGGTGTCTGTTGGACAGAGTGCCTCCACAAAAAAATAGTGTTGAATGATGCATCTTACATGTTGCATGTGTAGATATACAATATCTATGGCATAAATACGCATATTAGACAAACGATGTGTGCAAAACAAATGTCCCGGCCTTTTACTGGATACCCACTCACATGACCTGGCCTGTTGATAGATGTAGTCCACTAAATCGGGCACGGTGGGGTAATCGAACATCAGAGTCGAAGACCTCAGCTTCTCGACTGGCACATGTTCTGCGAGCATTTGGAGCTTCGGGCGGCAGCTCATTAGTGCATCACCGTCCTGCATCCCTGACTAGAAGCATGGTTTTGTGAAACTTGGTATCCCGGGTACTATCCTGGGTATATTCATGATAGAATGGTCTACAGTCTACAGACTTGCCCCTTCCATTCTGTTAATTCCTTCTGTTGATTCTTCTGGACGTTTGTTCTTGTTTGGTTGGTTCTTTTGATGAGACTGTCGGAATGGAACAGAGGGCAGGACCACCTAATTCGTAATTCATTGCAATGCGGTCACAGACATTAGTCGTTGGCTAGCGCAAGCAAAAAAAACAACTCCATGGAATTGCTGGGTCGTACTCAAATTGGAATGAGGGCGCCCAAATATATAGCTAGAACCTTGTGTCCGGGACAACCGACTGGCAGACCAACGATTTCACCTGTCGAAGCCATCTTGTCTCACTGGGATCCGTCACAAACACACTGACAGTGGATTATCATAGTCGGTCAAGCTCCATACTAAAGATCAGTGCCCAGGGCTATTCGCTGAACCACTCTTCTAGGAGGCATCACACATCCAAGATATCACCGCCAGGAAAAATGGATTGGCCCCAGCATAATCTGCCCAGGCACAGTTGCAAACCTTCGAAGGAAGCCTGCAAGCGGTTCCGGAACTCCACCCCTGCCAAGGAATCCAGACCTCCACAGCACGCGCCGGAAAACAGCAAGGTTCGCTCGGTTCACGCTGAGGCGAGGCGAGCCGTTCTAGTGCCGCGAACACGCTGACAGACATGGAGTTGCCAAACATTCTCAAGTGTAAGACTCAAAGTATATAGTAGATTAGATTATTATAGATGATTAAACATATGGAATATGACCGGTCTCTGACTGCTTCATCTGTTTAGATGAGCCATCAAATAGTTACCTTTCCATCAGCATTGTAATATCGTGTATGTCCCAAACCTTGAGGACATGTTACTTATTGTTTCTTGTTTCATTCTTCAATAGACGAACCGTCTTTAGCACCTGATCCTTTTGTCAATGTCCATGCATTTCTGCTGCAGGATATCCGTTTTCACCTTTTCTGGCCCACTTAGTATATCCCAGGATCTCCGGTCCAACCATCTGCCGCGATTAAGTGCCAGGTTGCCCATCTCCATCAATGGCGTGGAGAGATCTAAATCGCCGGAGCCCTCCAAGACATCCTGCGTACCGGCCAGGGTTGCTTGGGGACCGCGCACACACACAAACAGTGCTGGGCTGGTCAAGGCACCTGGGGTGTCTCTTTCAGGCCTGTGACATCATGTTCTTGATGTAAATCGTTAGCTGTTAAAAACAACTATATATATATACATGTGGCTACAACATGTGGGACTGTTTTATACCGAAACAAGACAAGCACGTCATGCACTAAGAGAGAAATGTTTTCCCCCGTTGACAGTTGCAATGTAGTGATTTTCGTCCGCGAGCCACTTCAGGGTTCATGAGAATGAATCCAGGAACCAAGTAAATAGTGCGAGCCTAAGCTATCATGCGTCCTAGCTAGAGCAGGTTACCTAGTAGTTTGTTTAGCCCTTACTTAGAACCGCCTATAACTATAACATAATAAAGTAAGGGTGACGGCAACGGGCTAAAACATAAAAAACACTCAAGTGTAGGGGCAGGCTTTGGAGGCGACCCCCCATATCCAGCCTTAGTCAGCCTCAAATAGTTGGATATCTGAGGAGCACCCAGTGCATCGAGCTTCCACAGTGGCACCCGCGGGAAACAGCTACGAACCTAGCTCTGGAGGGTCCCTGGTCTGTCCCTACAGGAAAGTGGTATGTGGTCCAAATAGTCATCTTCAGGCAAAGCAAGATTGTATAGGATAAAGGATATCGATCAGATCTATCCACGCAACAAAATAGTTATCCAATAGCTACTACAGTAGGTCTATGCTATAAGATTAAATGCAATTCGGGTACAGTAGGTCCGGGTACAGTAGGTCTATGCTCTAGAAAATGTTCAAGACTGCCCATCCTTCATTGATGGGGCCATAATAAAAGGGGTATCCCTATGATCGGAAGGATTTGTCGGGTCAAATTAGAACGATAGTCCCTGCAAAGTGACTCACACCAACACACTTATATATCCCTGTACAAAATCCATCCCTACAAATCGCAGTTGCAACTGGCGCCTTCGAACCACTGGTTGCCTAGCCACTGAATTCACTCCACTGAATTCTGAATGTGATGTCCATGAACCCCAAGACTAGTGGTAACCGCTTTGTTTATGTGTGTAGATCATCGGTCATGCAGTCAGCTGATGCAGTCCTGAAGCACACCCACCACAATGCCCTTGATGTCATCGGCGCTAACCTTGAGAACATTGTTGTAACAGTCTCAACATTGCCAGCAAAATGGAGACAGGATGTACTTGTCCCATAGTTTGGGGAGACTTATTGCACTGGAATTGCACTGGAATAGCTTGAGTTTTAAGTGCAGCTGGTGCTTTCTCTGAGAAAACCGGTGCAGGCCACACCAGGTCCAAGTAAGAAGCTATCTTTGCAGATCAGGTCTTTTTGACTTCCTGATTTCAAAGGCTGAAGCGTTTCTGTGTGTAGCTGACCCCAGACTGTTTGTCGAGACATTTTGCATCCCAAGGCACCATCGCACCAGCGGCCGCCGCCGACTTCTTGCCACCCACACTGCCGCCAAATTTGCTCAGTGCCTTTGGGTCGGGACCATAACCCCTCGCGCGGAGATGTGAGATGGAACTCGTCGTTACACATCACCGGACCCCTGAGTTGAAGTGGTAATTTGCAATATATACGTGGGGCTCTACAAATAGGCTCTACAACCTGATGATGTGACTTGGACCATAGGCTAGTGACGCGATGTGACGCGGCAAGTGGCCTCTCAAGACCTGGTCAGGTGGAGAAGCATCTCTTTTTGGCAACAAACACCCTTGGAGGCTCACGGTCAAGATCTTTGGGCAGGTCGCCCTGTCTCCACTCCAAACGCCCAAAGTGAGTCCCATTCAGCTGAGCCGCTGGTGGGACCTTGGGCATCTGCCCCAACAAAGACTTCCACTTGATGCGAGCAATGCCCACCGTGCCTGGGATAAGCAACGAAAAAAACACACCTGTTCGAAGCCACATCAGCCGTCTTGGCTCGTAGGCTTTGCTGCTTGATGGATGTCACGGCTCATGGATGCTCATGGTAATTCGTTGTGTGTGCATTTCTGCGTATTTATATAACTAAAAACACAATGATGATGTTCAGGCTGGGTACATCCCTGACCGACAAGATCCGACAAACAATAAATATGTGGCCATCTTCGGCTCCGGTCAAAGATAAACTAGCCCGGGCAACATTCAATCACATATATAATTGAAATCACGGAATGATTGAGCAGCCCCCAAAGTGACCTTGTTAGGGTTCCCAAGTGGCCTTTCACTACAGGTCAAGTGACCTATCAAAAAGCCCCTTTGAACTCTTGTTTTCCTGATTGATGGCTTTCTACGGGGATAGCAGTAGTAGATCTGATGCTGGATGGGATGTCATGACAAAAGGATAAAGAGCAAAGCGTTCTTTGTTTGCAGGGAGATTTTGCAAGTCCTGCTGCAGCACCCACTATACTGTGGATGGACTTGGAACCTCATGCTGCACATAAACCATAAAAAAAAAGATGTGGTTGCGCTAGTGAGACCCACATTATCCACTTCTTTGAAGAAGTAAACCCTAAGCAAACACGCCCTCAGCATCCCTCAGCCAAGAGAAGCCAACTCGCATCGAGTCCCACGCTGCCGCGCCTGCAGGCCGCAGGGCATTGTTGGCACCCAACACCAACGCCATGGCTTCCAAGCCTCGTGCCAAGTCTAAGCGCGCGATGCTGCCTGGAGCGCAGGTGACATACAGCTGACAGGCAGCTGGCAGGTAAACAAACGAGATGTTGGCGAGTCTCGGCGTGGAGGAAGTTTTGACAGCTCGAAATTGTGTTCAGAACAGTCATGAGGACGTGGACCCGCGCAAAGGATGGTTAGAATCTCCACAAATAATCCAAGACTGTAGACATCCTTTGAAAGGTCCAGGAGATCAATTGTTGGTGGACTTTGCTTGATCTCTTTTGCTGGAAAAGGAGTTTGTCTTCTGAGACTTCTGGGTTTGAAAGCTACATACTTGGAGACCACATGGCATGGGTTACACATGGGGCGAGAGGCGCATGTATACAGTTCTTTCAAAAGAGAAGCCTGACAACCATTGAAACTTCCAAACCACTGTACTTCTCCCAAGGCAGCCCTCGACTTCTCGACACACAAAACTCTGCATACACATCTGCACACCTGAAATTGCAAAGCCTGGGCGACTTATCGGTTCTATCAGCAATTGGCTGGCAAATCCCTATACCGTCTCAACATCTTGTAAGCCATCATCCACTGAGCTTTCAGGCAGCGTGTCGGAAGAAAAATGGACTTCCGGCCTTCAGAGGTGCCGGCACGTGCCGCCATGCCGACCTCCGCCCAGGGACCCCACTGCAGGGAGATGGCGGGGAGTTTCTGTGCACGCCGCCGCGAGCCGAAGCTGTCCATGAAGGCATTGGCAGCACAGTAGTTGCCTTTGAGCTTGGAAGAGGGGCGAACAAGAGTTCGCAAAAACATATTCTGAGCAAACCATGTCACAACAAAAAGCAAAGAAGTCAGACTCAGGTAACATCCACTTCGAATTTGACTGCATGGGGTCTCCAACTACTGGATACTCTGATCTTCCAGGTCGTGCGATTTTGCACAGCACACCGAGGTGGTGGAGCTGTCTCGATCCGTTCATCAAAGCTTCAGGCCTTGTGCTACAGAGCCGATCATGGCCGCCACTGAGGAGAACAACCACATCTCCTGTAGTTGCGGTGCATGTAGGTTTGTCTTGAAATCGACAAAGCCCGGGTATTCGGGTGGATTCCAACCCATTCATGAAACATCTAAGTTCCACTACCAGGCAGGGGAGTCTACCTACTTTGAGACATACACATGAAGCCTTGAAACCACTTTATATACCCGTTGGCATATCTTGGAGGGTCCTGTATGTGAACAAATGGCGCGCACTCGCAGGAAGGTTTGGAAAGGACTGAAGGAATTAAAATACATATCAACTACCTTACTTACGGATTGCAAAACACATGCACTATGTACCCAAACTTAGGGCTGAGTGCCATCCACTCTTAGACAAAGCAGCCGCGGATGAGAAGTCTTGGGATCAGTGACTGGCCAACACCCCAACCATCCCCAACCTACCTTCATCTTGAGCTTTCCGGAACCAGTCGGGTGACTGATCTCATGATGACTCAGTGCGTGAACTTGACGTGCACTGGCTTGGGAGTCCATACGATGATTAGAGTTTGCAGCGACAAACTTTTTAAACAAAATCCCACCCGAAACGGACCGTGACAGAAGTAGATCTATCAACCAAAAAAAAATATTTGACCTAGACTTGATCCTGGACTATGTAGATTTTTGCTACTCACTATCAACCCCTTTGAGATTCCACCCCTTTAGCCCTCTGATGATTAACTAGGATTCCAGGCCTTCTGGACCCACGCCCATAACCCTGACCATCTTCAAGGCTTCCTCGCAAGCGACTCCCAGCACGAGGTCCTATGTGTTGCGACATGTTGCTGATACTGCTCCGTCCTCAAGAGGGAGGGCCAAATCCACGGCTGCTGCATGGAGGTTCAAAGACCCATCCACCTGCGCAGAGCTTTGGAGATCCCCTCAGCTATGTTTCCAACATGTCCAAATCCTGCATCTGGTTGCTGCTCATTTGTAAACTCCTGGCCGAGGCCAGGCGATCATTCAACCTGGAGGGTCGGATGGAGGTACCACAAAGGACCTTGTGAGTCTGATTCTCCAAACCTTGGCCGAGCAGACCAACTTGAGGTTCTGCGAGCTCTGGTCTTTGATCAACCCATCCGCCAGGGTGCCCGCGGCATGGACGATGCCCTTCACCTGCACTTGGATCCGAGTGGTGGTGGTCTGTTTCGGAGTAGACGAAAGAGAGCAAAATTTGATTCAACATTTTTTTGTTTGCGGTCTTCAGATAAGCCCTATTTCTTACAGTGTATGACCTGTCACGTGTCTTCCTATCTTCTTACTGAAATCATGGATATCAATGTTGCTTTCTCAATGACCCAGGTTTTCAGCGGTTCGAAAAAGTCAGCTGTGGGCCGTGGGCCCATGTTTGCCTTCAGAATCCAAATGTCGCACTTGCGTGTGGCTCGACCCACAGTGTTGACTGACTCATTGCCGCATCCTCCTAACTACAAAAACGTGCGTCTCAGGGTCAGTGCATTGGTTCCACATCTTAGCCTGATTTAAACACCTCACACCTGCAACTTCTGTCCAGTCGCCAAATGCGTCTTCTTGAGATCTTCGAAGACCCGATGCACATCTGAGAAGGAGCCTCAGTCTTCTAACTCCCGTGAGTCGCACTTCAATGGCACCCTGGAAGCTTTGGCTGACCCCCCCTAATGAACAGAATGGGACAATTTGCCCATTGTCCCATTGTCAACCCATGTGGAATATATGATAATATATGTACTATAAGTTGAAATAATAGTCGAATAAACATACCCCAGCCCTTGGTCATGAAGAATCCCAACAAGGTTGTTTTCCTGCACTTGACGAACACCGAAAACCTTGATCACAACTCTGGCCATATCTCACATGAAATGGCGTGCTCCACCACCCAAAACAGGAGTGCTGCACTGGATTTTGGAGCACAGGGTATAGCACCTTCAATTTGATTGCACACCGCAGTTGATCGTCTATCCCTTTGGGACGTTTGACGTCTATCTTCCACACTTCGAAGGCAGGCAACACTTCTGCCTCGACCAAATAAAACATGCATAGGCATATGATATGATGTGATCATTGTGAAACTGAGTGTATCCCGTCTTTAAAGAAGCCAATACATACAACAGACTGGCAATTCTCTTCTTTCTTCTGACTGGGCAGCAACAACTTCTTGGTTCGACAAATTCCCTTACTTGCTCCCCATCCCATCCATCCCAAACCAACACCATCCACGCAACTGATGTCGCACTTGGTCGCACAAAATGTTGCGTTGTCCATCTTGGCGAACTGGCGCTCCAACTTCCGGAATGCCGCCTCTCACAAACGCAAGGGAAGTGCTCCAGGCAGGGCCTTTCCATAGTGGGTTTCAAACAGTCAAGCTATCCAACTAAAGGGCTCAGTGGTATTAGTAAGTGAATTTAATTATATATTTGGCGGCCAACTGTAGCCAATATGTGTAATTAGCCAAATTGATCAGATTGTGGACCGACTCCTGCAGTCTTTCAGGTTTATTTAGATTTTTCAAACCAATTCTTCCATGTTCTTCGATGTTTCGGTTTATTGGTATGATCAACCCTTGGTCTCATCTCCAATGGGTACATTCAGCGCTGGACAGCGAACGGGCCTTGGAATCCGCTGGAGGTTGTCCACTGCGTGAGAGCAGGGCGAAATGCCTGACAGCTTCGCGGTCACATCCACAACCATTCCCGAAACCAATTCCTAATTGCCTACTATATAATATACTGTATTGGGATTCCCTTTAAACGAAATGTTTGGGTTCTTCAGCAAAATCTATCACTCGCTCTGTCAGTAGTTATAGGCAGGTGTGAGTATTCTAGATGTGGAACAAACCCCGGCGTCCAGTGCATATGCACTTCATAGCCCTGCCTTGCGCCCAAGGAAGACATCCACTCGGCAAAAACCAAACCCAGAGCTCCTGTACCACCAGTGACCTCAGGACACGTGGCGTCGCCCCCCAGCCCGTTGGGACAAAACCCAGGTGAAGATCATTTGAACATCAGCAAGACAAATGGCATGGAAGATCATGGATGGTAGTAACATGGGCATTACTACTAGTAGCAAGAAATCAAGAAGCTACTAGGAATAATGCCCTTGTTACTGGTAGCTTCTCACTACTAGTAGTAATGCCCTTGTTGCTAGTAGCTGCTTGGCATGGAAGACAGTCAACTTGATGACATTTCTCCATCTGGATAGACTGACACGATCGGTTCGGCCAAACTGAACAAAACCACCACTGAGCCAAGGCAGCCAAGGCTCCACATACATGGCATCCTCATCGAAGCCTCGAATGCAAAAATGGACTATGGCTGGCCAGCATTGATGGTGCGGAGTTCAAAGAAGACTTGGTCCGCCTTCCTTCCTGATGCAGGAAGACATCCTGCACTTGAGAGCCTCACAAAACAACTGTATTTATAGACTTCTAGACTAGAGTTTCTTGAGTGTTCTGGGTGTTGCCAGTGTCCTTCTTCCAAAACACACAGTTCGCTCCTCCCAAGTGTTCCTGGTTTGGGATGGAGATCTTTTCTTACCACGTGGGGCCTATGTTAGGACCTGGGGGGGTTGTAACTCTCTCCTTCAAACAAACTTCCCCACACCGAGGGGCCTCATTTAAGGATTTTCATGCTTGAAGAAGCTCTTCCTGTCCATTTATGCTTGGCAAGGACCCCAAACCCTACGCCTCATTCTTCAACTACAGTATATTTGCAGGTTCCTCGCAATTTTCGCCCTTCTTGTCCACTTGTCTCCCAATCCTCTTCTTCGCCAGGGACGTGGTGACTCCTTCTCCACCTGCTGCAAGCGCTGCGTGCAATCTGCCAAGCGTGGCATCCAAAGCTTCAAGCTGCCTCAATACACAGCGTCAGCAACTTGGCTCTGCGGTGGATGAGAGGATGGTGGTGGTCGGGTGACTCTCAGAAGGGGAAGGTGACAGTCCCGAAGTACCACTCGGCAAGAATCAATCAACTACGAGTAGTGCAGGCTCGGTGACAATTTCTAAACACCAGCGCTCAATCAAATCGACTGTGGGTTCAGTAGATGAGATGGTGGTCTGCCCTAATTGGTGAAACGGTCATGTGGATACCCGAGCCCTGCAGAGTTGCTTCAAAAGCACTGTTAAAGCACCCTCAAGGGTTGGTGGGTGACTAAAACCAAACACGAGAAGACTCTAAAAAAGAAGGGCTAAGTCACCTAGAGTCCCCTCCCTACTTCACGCTGCGCGTGTTCTACAAACACTTGATGTTCATCCATTCTCATAGTTTGCATGAGTTTGACATTCAAATAAATAGTTCGAAGGCTTCTTCAAGGAAGCTCCCCCCAGCCTCAGGCTGGGGAGCTTCGTTGAAGAAGCCTGAGCCCTCCATCCCAGTAGCTTCTTTGAAATACGCGTATTAGCTTACTTGAGTCTACCTCCTCTTTTAAAAGCCGTCAGTCCATCCTTCCCCATCATTCCTTCGCCAGCCTTCATGGTACCGCTGAGCCAGTTCTGGCTCAGCCGTGCCCTTCGCGGCCACGAACTGCAGCTGTTCGGCCAGCTGCTGCGGAGACCTCTCTGCTGGGAAGGACACCGGGTGGCAGATGGGAAAAAAACTTGCCGTTGGAGGCTGCTGGTTGAGAAGAGAAATTCTAGCTCTAAGGGATGGGTGGTCTTCAGTTGGATTGAACACTTGAGTTCGGCAAATGATAGGTAAGCGGCCACTCTGGGGAGCCTAATTCCTGACCTGTGAGCCTGTGACAGAACTAATATTGATCTAGAACCCACCTGCCGTCTTTTCTCTTTTGGATAGGAAAAGGCCATAATTGAGCTCTAGGTATATTTTGTGGCAAGTCAAGAACATTCAAGAACCATCAAAAGCTCTCAGCAGAAAAACATCCCACCACCAATGCATGGCCTTGCCCTCCAACTGGTCTTCGCGCGCCTGCAAACGGCTTCCTCCAGATCCAAGGTGAGGGCAGCTGGCAGTTCTGGGTGTTCATTTCGGAAGGCCTGGACAGCGAACCGCTCCACCCAAAATCGGCCGTCTCCGCGGGGGGAAGAAAGGTGATGTGGTGGCATCGTAACACAGATGTGGAAACCTCAGGTGGACTTACCTCACAAAGTGCGAGACTTGACCAGTCGGGGTTACACATCACTCTTGCGTCTGTAAAACACCCTATTCGTCTGTAATGAGGAGATTGACTCAACCAATGAGGTCAAACAACCCAAAACACACGCGCACACACACACACACACCGCACATCAGCTCACAACATTCAGCATCTCCCATTCGCCTTGGCCAAGCCCCAAAGCCCTGCATGGCTGGCTACTGTAGTGGTCTCTGCCAAGTCCTCGTCCAGCACTGCATTGGCCAGGGAGGTCACGAGGCACAAGGGGCCCTCAGGCGCCTCACAGAGCTGATATGGGATGCCCATGTGGGCTGATCTCAAAATAGGGACCCATCAAAGAACCGCAAGTGTGCCACCATGCCATCATGAAATGGTGACTGAAATGGTGTGACCTTCGAACAGCCTGCTCTAGAACTAAGGCCAAATTGTGCAGTTGTCGAAACATGTTTGTACAATATAATTCCATCACATACATTGATTGGGGAGCCCATCGCTTCCCAGACTTTTGGACAATTTTAGACTTTAGCTTGGAGGGGAGGCATTGCTTTCCTTCCATCAAACATACCCGGACAAATCATGAATGCTTTGTATTATCTTTAGTCTTAGTAAGGCATCGCTTTCGGGGGGGCCCATCGCTTTCCTAGTATTTGTTGTTGCAAGATGTTGAGATTGAAGGTGGCTCATGTGAGTGATGGACAAAATCTCTGGCTAGAGGGACCTCTCGGTGGGATGGTTAGGGTTGGCCCCCTTCCTCCTTCTAAGATTCTGAAGCAACGGGGGGGGGCTGACGCAGACCGCAGATTTGTCCAATCCTCATGACTGTCTTCTGCTCGTCATACCGTGTTTTGACGGCTACTCCAATAGAAAAAACCTGTTCTCTTCCACAAAACCATGGGTCTGAAAGGATGCACGTTCACGTTCAAGTTGGGACCTTGTAAACGGATGATTATATTCACTAAGACCCAAACATTGCGAATTTCCCTGCTGAGCAACACATTTAAACATGTGTGGTATTTTAGGGGTGCAAGACTTTCTCCCTGAGTGCTCACATCGGTGCTGGTCCCCCGCGGCCACATCCTGCCTCCCGTGCCACAGCCTGCATCAGGCGCATGGTAGCATCCAATACCTGAGGAAGAGAGACCCAGCAAAGAACATGAGGAAGCGCTCTGTTTCCTTCTGTCACCGCGGATTTTTTTTTGGTGACATGTTTGACCCATCTTCCCGCGTTGTAATTGTAGTGTAGAATCATCCACGATGGGAAGGCTTTGACTCAGCAACACCACAACCAGCAGATCTGCTACAATCAAGCCGCGTCCAAAACCTGCTGCGCTGCTGCTTGGGCATGTTGAGGTAGAGCCACTGCACCCGCCAGGGAAATGATCCTGCTAGTAGGCCAGTCGTGGCGCATGAAACTTGCTCCAGTTTTAAAGACCAATGCAACGCCCCAGGCGTTGAACCGTTCCGTTATTGACGAGAATATTGAAACACACAAGCGATTTACACTGCTGAGAAAGAAACTTAAACAACAAACAATCACCTCTCTTGATTCAATTGGCAGCATCCAACTGGGGGAGAAACATCTTTTTCCAACCGTTTTGTATCTGGCAGGTTGCCGTGTGCATGAGGAACAAAGTGGGTGGCGCAAATCATCGCAAATTACAATCACACAGTATCTAAAGAACATCTTACTGTATGATACTGATTGATACTGTATATAATATATGCGTACACGTGTTGAGCAATTTTCCGGGCGAAACATGAATTCCAGCCATCCAGCCTGTTGTAATCTGTGAGTTTGCCCCAGCTGTCTTCATCCATCAGGCTGGCATAGCAATGATCGCCCAAATGTTCCCGAAGACCATCAAGGAAGCCTTGGCCATGACTGACTCGTCCTAATTCCAACAAGCAGTGAATCCGTCGTCGACCAAAAGTAATAACAGTGAGAATTAAACTATGGATGACATGGAACACTGTGCTTTTTAAAGCACAGTCTTATACCATCTTAATGCATCTGGTTCTGAGTCACGGTTTGCACAGTTCAGGGACTCGTGTCTCCTTTTTGTTGGGGGTGTCATGATCATGTGCTGTCTGGGTTCGGAAATTTGCCCTTGACAAACGCTGTCTCGAACCCATCTGACCTCATTTTGATCCCATGTTTTGAGATGTTTTGAGTAGTTGGTACTCCACAGTGGTCTCATTCAGGTTCCTGTATCGATCCATCAAACTTTGGATTCACGCTAATTACGTGAGACTCTAGGGCACCGTCTCTAGTCTATAGGTCCTTGTTTTTGGTGCTCACTTGGAATCAATGGCAGCATTTTACAACATCTGTGGAAGGTGCAGAGTTGATCCTTCTGCAAGGCTCTGCATCTGCGTTTGTGCGACCCAAGAGTCCGTTGGAAGCTTGATGGTGAAGCACAAGCCACTTCTCATTCTCCAACTCTGGCGCTTCCTCCTCAGCCACCTCGGGTGAATTGAACACATTAGCCACCTCGGGTGAATTGAACACATTAGACTGGCGGCTGCGGGACTCGGTTCTTTTTCAAAACTCCGATTCTGTGTCCAAACCAACTGTTTGGTCCATTTCTAGGTGACCTTTTCTGGGAACCACATTCGGGACTCTGAACTGGGCCAAACTCTCTATATAATTATACACCAAAGCCCGCCGCCCCCCTCACCTGGCTGCGTTCTTGACAGCAGGCACCGAGACTGGAATCCAATGAGCCCTAAACAATTTGCGTAAACATTCTGATAGCGTGTGTTACAGCCACATTCAAGGCGACAATCCAAAAAAAGACATGGGAAGGAGTGCCAGATCTCATTTTAGGTCCTAGTGGCAGGCTGCCACTCGATCTCGTAGATCTTCTGGTCCTTGGAGTTCGCACTCGAAGTAAGTGCGAACAGCTAAGTAATGGGTATGGGGTGGACAAATCTTCGTGCACTAGAAATGCCATACAACTGTTGGATTCACTGCATGTCTCACTGTTCTCAAGAAGATATATGCACAGATCCAGCTTTTATATCCCTTTCTACCAAAGGGTGCTGGGATGTCTCCTCATGTTGCACAACATTTATATATTTGCTGTGAAACCAGTTTTTTGGCGCTGAATCCTCGGACAACTGTCTCATTAAGAACGCCGAAAGAAACATATCCGCCATGATGCACCAGGGTCATGGGTCTGTTGATTTTTGAGGCAAGAGTCATTTTTACATAGCTTCACACAACCCGGTTCCTGGTCCCTCTTCCCCACGAGAAACTCCCAAGAACTTAAGGACCCCACCAGATCTGACCTCAAATGTTCTGACCTCAATTTGTTAGAACCTCCCCGCGGTGAGTTCGCCGACAATAAACAATGTTGGGCCATGAAGGCATGTTTCGCCAAGTCCAATGCGCTGGTACCACATAGTAAAAGCTCAAGAGTGGGCAAAAAGCAACCAAGCTGTTACACACTCAATGTTACACTCAACCATCACTCAACCCACTGCGAGGTCGGACTTCAAATGAGAGTGGTAGTGATCAAGGGAAGAGTAGTCGTAGCAGTCCAATCCTATTGTTCCTTGGATTGCGCCTGAGATTGCCCCGCTGGCGCCTCTGATTCAGTACGGCCCAATCATTAGGGAATTGATCCAATGTGGCCCAACGAACCTTTTCCGCGTTGATGTCTCTCGCTGTGTTCCGGCAGCACCCCATGGTCAGCATAACATGCCGCCACGCAGTGGCGTCGTGCAATGACGTCACATGAAAGTCGGCGCAGGGCTCGGATCGCTGGATCGGCAACCGTTGAGCAAGCAAGGCACAGATTTGGAACGCAGCCTTTTGTTGTTTTGCCATTGTGTATTTTCAAAGCCGATTTCTCCAGCTCTTTCCTGCACCAGCAAATGCACGCCTTCTAAGTGCCAAATCTAAGGAGTGACTGCCATCACAGCGATGACCTTCTAAGAAGAACCCGTCAAAAGAATCCCATGAATGCTGACGCATTCACCTCAATCCCCTACACAGCTCACGCGTATCACTTGGAGGCCTTCCAGGTCCCACGATGCAAGAAGTGTTCGTTGGTCCAAGATGGTCTCAACAAATACTGCGTATGGGAAGGACCCTAAGGACCCCTACACAATCATGAAACCAGAGCATCCCAACCTTCAGTAGATGGTCAGGAAGATTAATTTGCCGCGCTAGTTTCGGGAATCTCAACACAACTGGACAATCCATTGTTGTGTTTGTGGTCCGCACAACAAAAAGGCAAGCGTTCTGTATTTGTGATGCCCGACCTGGGAGTAGACAGTACTGTCGGAAACCGCAAAACCTTCGCAAGTTCCCTTCTACATCCTTCTACAAGGTTCTTCAAAGTGGTCTCTTTGGCGCCCCTGAGTGATCTGCTTGGGGTACGGTCCAAGTGAAGTCCAACTGGTCTCAAATTGGAGCCTCATACGGTTGCTTGAAGAACCACTCCCGAAGTCTTGAGTGCCTGCATTCCACCACATTGCCACACAAAGAATTGAAACATCAGGAATCACCATTTATTATTTACTATAATTATACTCCTTTGGGGTCTCCTGGTTAATTGACATTTGACATGAAATGTTCACTCTGGGAAGAATAACATGTTGCATTAAACCCTCACGAATCTACGCTATGCACTGAACTCCATCAACCTGGCAAACCACCATGGATTCAGGTCAGTGGCTGCCCCAAATCCCTGCTCACCATCGCTTCCGGTCCAGCACCTTCTTCAACTTCAGCTTGATGACTTTGGCCTGGTGTTGAAGGGACCCCGAGCTGGGATAAAGTTATACTTGATGTGTTTCTGTTTTTCTGAGTCACTGTTACACTTATTGAAGAGGTCGCTGCAAGAAAGCTAAAAGACTCCGGAGATGCTTTGGAACTGACCTGAGCCAGTTCGAGCCAGTTTCTGTCCATCCAGACCAGTAGTTCAAAGAGATTGTAGCCATCAATCCAACCCCCACGAACTGAGCCACCGCAACGCTATCTGAAATCCACTGAATTGCGGCATCAATTCTTCAATATTCGACAGAAAGCAACCAACAAACTTCCAACAAAACCCTGGATCAATAAATTTCCGCCAAAGTCCCGGAGCTTACCTGCTTCTCAAGCTTCTTCAATGGCCAAACTCGAAGGGGGCTCTCGCGGCTGCCGGGGCCAACCTTGGACGAAGCTTTCACGAGGCCCCGCGGGTTTCAGGATCCACATATATCCGACACCTCAGAAACTCTGTGGGACTGTGTGGGGGGTGTGAGGTAGGTGGGTTTGGGGGTGTTAAGAGGCAGCATTGATCTTGTTATGCTCAATCTGACAAAAAGACTAAGGGAGTTCGCAGTTCGCAGTCTTCTTTTCAGTCCATTCCATCCGCTTTCATGATTTTTGGATAGCGTGCACTACAAATCCCAACAAACAACTAGGTGGACGAACACAAGCACTTTTCCCGGTGGTGAGCATATTTGCCAAACAAGGTGTCCCTCACCCGCCGTGACATGTTCTCACCAAATTCCGCGTAAAGACGTCCAAATCACTATGCCATCCACCACCCAACATTGGCTCTCCGGCCCTCATGACCCTTTTTTTGGAAAGACACATCTAAATCTGTTCCACAGAAATTAACTTATAAACAATACCAGCTCGAAAACTTGGACATCGAAATATTCAAGTCAATACAATCAGAGTATATATTAGTAACAGGAACTATAGAAAACAGACCAGCCATTCCAGCTGTCTTTGGAGCCTACACTTAAAAGTTAAAAGGTTGAGCTTCGCCAGGACACCACAAACAGTCCTGCTCCTCAATCCAAGGAACGCTAGCGCTGTGATTCGTCTTTGCGTGGCCTAGCACAGCCAACCACTAGCACTTCAACTCCTACAAATGGCATTAGGGACCAAGGCAAACAGTAGACCTAAATCCTGAGGTAGTCTTACCACTTGTGGGTTGTGGGTGACTGACCTGACTTTGAACTTTGAGAACCAACGAATGCAACCTTTTTCAGGGGCTCCTCCGGGCAATCAGACCGGAATGCATGGCGTGCGATGGCAAAAAGCATGTAGTTTTATGTATATAATATCGTTTTGTCCCGTTTAATCCCAACTTGTCGATGAGGTAAAGAGTCCGCTGAGAGAGCTTTCAGGTTTACCCTCTCAGCTCTAGCTGTAGGTAACTACTCAAACTCTTCCTGAACCCCCCCCAAACACCATTCACACACGTCTGGAGGACACCATGAGACACCTTGCATCGCTACACTGCGAATGGCGCTCTGCAAGCTCTGCCGGTTGCTTTAACCGCTGTTTGTTTAATGACTATGCCGACTCGGCGTTGCCGACCCACCTCGAGGTCGCCTCAGCAGTCGGTCCGGCTTCTCCGCACTAGGTGGGACCTGAAAGCCTCAGCGACCGAGGAAAGCTGGTCATAGTGGCCACATGGGGCGCCATGCGGATGAGGGGAGGCCATCAGAATCCTTCTCAGTGGTCATTCTCACGTTGCAAGGATTTGGAGCAGGGTTGGACCTCAAATATGAGGTAATTAGTTTCAGGATTCATAAGCCCAGGATAGCCCAGGCTCGCTTGTGGGCGTGCAAAGTTGAAGACACCTCCAGGCACAATGCTTGTTGACTCATGCCACCGATGGTAGAGCGAAACCCCATGATCTTCAGGGTCCGGGTGTATGTATTAGACATTACAAGATATCCCGGATAAGAAACAAGCAACATCTTTGTCACAGAAGGCCGTAGGCCCTAACAATCAAACACTCGAAAGGGAGTTGTACGACTTCCAACAATGAGCATGACCATGGGCATGAAACGCTCTCCACCTGCCCCCAAAAAGAATGCAAGTCATTTAGCAACTGAACCATGGGGAATTTGTCAACGTCATCGGTTTTTGCATCCGAGGTCCTTTTTTTTGTGTCGTGAACTCATATGAACTCCCATCCTCAGTTGGTCGCCCTTTTCGTCGGAAGACCCAAGCTTGCCAGCTCGTCCTTCACCTTCTTGTCCGCTTTGGCATGGCATCCGCACGCGAAGAAGACGATTGAAAAGCCTCGGGACTGAATCACTGCAAAAAGTGAATGATGGCTCATAGATGCCTTGATCAGAAATGGTCAGATTTTTTCTCGAAACAAATCGTTGCTTGATCTCCAAGTGATTTCCAAAAAGCTAATCAAATTAAACAACCATGTTGACGTTGTATCTCTACTTGAACATCTGAGCAGTTCCCTGGGCGTCTGAGGTAGATCGCCAACTCTGTATTCATATATATATATACACAGAAGTAGTATGATTTGAAAGATAAACATCGCTAAATCCTCACCCCAAATGCTTCAGTTCAAGACGAGTAAATCCTCCTTCCAATGCAGTTCGTCTATGCTTGCGACTCCTGCTCATATCACGAGCTCTCTCTTAATGACAACGGCCATAGATATCAAGATCCCCAAATGTTTCAAGCATGCTGACACGTTGAACGGCTTCAATTTTGGTAGACTCAGTGGTTCTTGTGGTTCTTTCAACCCTTCTTCTCCTGTGCGTGTTTGGTAATGCTAGTGTGGAGCTCTGCGCTGACACCCACAAGAACTTGATCGAATTAGACTTTGAAATACTTTGAACACATTCGTAGGTGCCCTGTGTCCCTACCAAACTCTCCATGGTCATCGCACTCGCGATTTGAATCTTGTTTACCTTTGAGTTCTATCGCTCAGGCCTCAGGCCTCAGAGTGTTCCGCAGGAAAAAGTCCATGATCCCCAAAGCGATCCGGACGTTGCAAATGTAAGCCATGCTTCCCTTCCGAACCAAAACAACAATAGTTTGACAACAATTGATAAAGGTACTCTATGATATCGTACGATATTGTACTTTATATACACAGTTAGGC